GGGGGGGGGAGATGGCTGCAATCTTGGTCGCCACCCAAAGCGGTGTTTGCAACCCAACTAAAAAATTTTCAGTAATTTTTGTTGGTGAGCCAAGGTGTTTGTGAGCCGAGGTAGCACTGTAGAGTGCCCCATGGCATGCATTCTGAAGGGTAAACTAGCAGGGTTGTACTATGCATTTTTATTAAAACATGGATAGGATTCCTACTCTGCCTTCTCCTGCATTGACACACAATGGATCTTTGGCAAGTTGGAGTCAAATTGCTCACATACCGTTACAAATCCATTAGCTTTGCCTAACATAGTCATATCACATCAAGAGATGACGCCTGTTTGTTGAGACTGCTCCCATGCTTCATTTTAATATGCAACCATCTCAATTTAGAGTGGTGGTGTTAACCCTGTATTGGTGCAAGCCAAATGCTCACCAGATACTAGTGCGAGGGTGAATGGATTTAGACACAGCAGTGGTGTCTCTAAAAGCTCGAGTTGCCTTGTGGGAGCTTTGCAGGTATGGAATATAAATACTTGAGAATATAGTCGAGAAGTATGCTTCCCGAAAGTCATTTAGCTAAACAAATTTAATCCTCCCTCTTTCCAGAATGCATATACTGAAATGCTGGGTGAAATACTATGAGCAAAATCTTGATTAAAAGTTGGTAGTTGCATAGTCCACATAGGCTGTCCTGTTTCCTTGGGGGTAGGTGCGCTAGCTGCAGTAAATGAAAAAAGTTAAATAGTAATCTGGGGGATGTGCTAGGGAGAATCCTGGTGGTGGTATACATTTTGGCTGAGCTGTGGGGTTTTTTCCCCCATGCATCACCAGTTTGTCTGCTGTGAAATTAATGATTCTGTTGTTCCCACCAATCCAAAAAGTTTGAGTCTCTCCAATTTAACAGATTAGGGAAAAATCAAACAACTTTAAAGGTTTATCAGCAGGTATTTATTTATAATATAGACTGAAGCAATCATTACAATGTAGAAGGGCAACACACTTAACAGCATTTGTTTATTTATAGCCGTTCAGAACAAAAACGCTGCATGGGAGAGAGGTCAACTCTCAGTACAAACTAGCAACTAAACCACAATAACTTACCATTAGAAACATTTTTTTATATGGTGACACTGCTTTTACAATAGGCAAGGAACACAAAAAAAAATCAAATCAAATAAATCCAAGAAAACTATTTGAAGTGGTTTGTCACATTTTAACATTGAATTTGGCAATACTTTAATCAAAGTTTTACTTGAGTGTAATTCTAGTGTTTAAAGAACTAATCTGAGTACAGCTGCATCCGAAAGGTTTCCTAAACACACATTAGAAGTAATCCATCAGGAATGTCTCCTACACAAGCCCCACTGAAACAAAGGAGAGCTGCACACAAGGGCACAAACAAGCCCTTATGTAACTTCCCATTTATTTCAAAACAAAGCTTGCCAGGAAATGATTTTGACACTTTGCATCCTTTGTATTGGTTTATAAAGCTTTGTTCATTGAAGGTAAGCATCTTGAAGCATCATTTGCAGAATGCATCCGCTGTTTCATCAAGATGCTGGGCTAATACCACAGGCACTGCTGTTTTTATGTATGTTTTGTAGTATGGAGCTTGTTTTCCAAAGAAAGGAGAGATTATAATTTAAGGATCATGCTTTTTTTTGTTTCTGCTTATGAAGCTATTAACATAAAAAGTGTTAAGCAACCACAGCAGTGAAAATGTATATAGAACACAGTGACTCTAACAGTTTTACGATACTTCTCACATCCAATGCAGTTATGTATTTAAAGCATAAGAGGTTAAGTAGGCAAGATGGCAGCCAACAGGAGTCTCCAGAATATCTAGGGAGGAGTAGCTTGTGCGTACACACGACCCAGCTCCTTCCAGTGTAGCTGGTGCATTTTTTTGCAACCACACAACACAGGTCTTCTCTTTAATTCTGCTTGCATTGCCTGTATAGAGATAAGGCAGACGGTATCCATTTAGACTGCAGAATGTTTAAAAAACTCACAAAACTGGAACACCTGTGGTGCCTGAGTTATGCACATTTCTGCCGACCCCATAAAATGGATATATCACAGCAATTTTCATTTTAAGAAAAGAAAATCCCCTCTATAAATTTATTAACAGCTTCCCCAAAAAACTTTGCTGAGAATAATTAAAAAAAGAAAAGAGTGGTCAATCCCCTCCCCGTGTAATAAATAAGATCAAACATATACTCCCATCCCTCCCACATCCCCAAATCTTGTACTATTTAGGAAAAGCCAATCCAAAATGCCAGTTAAGAAAAACAGGTCCCTTAAAAGAACTGTTTGTAGTTTTACTGGAATTCCCAGCTGGTTGCTTGTCAGATCCGTAAGTTCCCTCCACACAATTTGGGGCTTTTCCTGTTTGTTTAGCTGCCCAGCCTGCTGGGCATAGCCAGTAAAAGGTATAAAGTTATAACTAAATAACTCCCTGGTATTTTATTGTTCAATGTTTACACATTTCTCTCTTCCCTTCAACTTTACTGTACTGTAGATTTTATTTTTAAAAGGAACAGAAAGTGAAGGGAGAAAAACTTTTAAATCTGCTTGGTTTAAGATGGCATGAATTGATGAAAGTTGCTTATGCAGTTCTGAAGAAAAGGAGACGAACAAACAAAACAATCCACAGAAGCTTTTCCTGGGCAAGAAATCCTATACAGCCACCACAACAGATTTTCATGGGGCTAACACAGGAGATGTTCCTAGTGGACAGCGCCCAAAAGTCTTTAAACACCCTACTTAAACACTGCAATCCAATATGGCTTATTCGGATGCATTTACCATGAAGCTACGGCTAGGCTACTTTTGTGCAACAGTTAAGTCCCTCCCCTTTTCCTAACACCCCTAAAGACTGTTAACCAATCACAGGCTTTTACTCTCTTTCACTTTATATTGCTTTAATCGATCAGTTGTGGTTTTCTGCCTTTCAAACATAAAAACAATTAACTATACTTCAGTGAGGACCTGTTTCTTGCCATGTCCTTTGTACAATAAAATAAAAGCTTTTGCATCCTCACAACCACTATGCTACTTGACATTTATTGTAGTTCTTCCTTCTATTGTGTAAAACTTTTACAAAGTTATAAAAAAGTTACATGGGATTTGGCACCTTCAGAAAAAATTGAAAGAAAAATCGGGTTTAAAAAAAAGTGCGGAAAAATAATAATCAGCAGTATTTACAAAAAAATGAAACGTCAGGAAGAGGTTGCTTCTTAATCTTTTTAGTTTGCAAATTCCATCCCTCCCCCTACATTTTATAGAGCTTTTCCAGCAATCTGTTATTGAGCATTCTACAAAATCTTGATTGTACAGTGGAATGGACAGAGAGACAAAGATGATTTCATCAGGTAGTTCAGTCTCTGTTCAGTTGGTAATTCCTGGCAGTGGTCCAGCATCTAGGAAATGCGGGGTGCTGAGCGGTCATTCGTAGTGGTCTTCTTCAGCTTAACACCACGGCGTATAGCATTCAGCATATCTTCGCCTTGCGGGGCTTCTCCAGGGTTCTGTCCTCCCAGTGGAGGCACCGGCTGGCAAGGGGGAGCTGCCATGCTTGGACTCTCCCTTTCGCCTGCCTCTCCCTCACTTTCGGGAGCTGCCTGTCTCTGCTCCTCTATGGTGGTTGGCTTCTGGCTTGTGGATGGAGGGTTGACAGATGCTTGACCACTCCACACTGATGGTGCACCTGCAGGGACTGGAGTGCCACTGCCAGCTTCAGGGCTTTGCTCAGGGCTTTCTTCGCCCCCACCTGGCACACTGGGCAGCCCTGCTGGTAGATCTGGTACAGTTGGCGTTTTGACAGGAATCACAGGTGTCTTAATTGGGATTGGCCCCGCCCCAATGGTCCCACGCCTGACCACGGGTTTTGTGGAAGGGGTCCGTCGGATAGTCGCCACCCCTGGAGTGACTACCACTGGCCCAAGTGTGGTTGGGAGGCCTGCAGTGGAAGCGGGACGCTTGGCATGAAACATCCGCCGGTAAGACTGACTGATGTCACTGTTTCTTGGAATAGTTGAAGACTTGTCAAATTCTTGCTGCTCTGGCTCTTGGTCACCACTGACGGAGAAGTAGTCATAGTCCGAAACTGGGGGTAGAAAAAGGCAAATCAGGAACCTACTAGAAAACAAGCATTTTCAATCAGGTTACTGTCATCTTTTCACTAATATTTCATCTGGTTGCAGCAGAGGAAGACAGAAGGCAGAGCTCAGCTGAGCAGTCAGGTGCCTCTCCAAATTGTGTCCATTTATGCCAGAATTTTGTAAGGACTTGTGCTTGCATTTGTTTATTTCATCTTTCCTCCCCATGCATTTAGTGTCATGTCTAGGGCTCCACTCAGGGCCACAAAAGGTATAAAATATTGTTTAAAATAAAAATAAATGTATTTAGACCATATGATTGCAAGCAGGGATGGTCTTTTATTGCACTGATCTCAGTCAAGCCACTCAGCTGAAAAGTGGGGTAAAACACATCAGTACTGATAAAGCAATCCTGTATGTGAATCACAGGGCAAACACTGCAGACTGAGCAGCGCCTACACAAATCACACACTGACAAGTACTGTTTCCAGTACAATCTTTTTTCTATATTTTCCTGTGGAATGACTACTTCTCAACTTTACTCTTTGGAAGTTTTCTCTCCAATCTGGCCCTTGTGCTGTGCAGCAAGACCCACATGTGTGATGCACAGAGACCACAATGAAGAATTGTGCCTTACCTTGAGAAGGAATGGTGTCCTCTGAACAGCAAGGTGTGGTTGTTTGGGTGCTGTATCCACTGGAACACTGCAAAGAATCCCGGCTACTTCGCTGGGTGTCTAGTTGCAGTCCTCGGGCAAGAGCCAGGGCCAGCTCTTCACATGCCTCCATCTCCTCTCCTTGCTACAAACACAACGGGGCGTCTCATTAAATGGAATGAGAAACTTGGGCAAACCCTATGGAGCTCTTGAGCTGTTTCGACCTATTGCTACAACACTCTTTAGTGTAAACCATACTTGGCATAGACCAGAGACACACAGCCCCTTTCAGCTTGAGGGCCAAAATCTACTGCAGAGAAGTGCTCCGAAGCAGCATTTCAGTCATGGGTGAGGCATAAAGACATGGAGTGGGGCCCAAAATACCAATATATTTTAGTTGAAACATTTTACTTCCAGTATCTAAGCCTTAGAAGACACATAGAATGGGGGTAAATAGCACAAAATCAGGAAAACCTAACAAACAGTGGCTGGGGAAAGAAGGCAGCAAATGGGGAAAGAGAGGAAACCTGGAGGGCTGGATTTAACCCCCAGGTTTGAAGTTTTGCATTTCAGTTATAGATGCACTTAAATGAATGGTTCTATGCAAAATCTGACTAACCCCAGATCCCATGGCAAATAGGTTGAAATGAAAGTCATCTTTACATTCTATTATTCAACTACTATCAGGATTTTCTCTGACTCTTCTATGCAGTGCTATGGCAGACTGTTCCCAAATAATCCATATTGTACATCACCCTGAAATCTAATAGGATGAAGAGATATACAGACATGTTTTAACTAGTACATGAACAGACAGACAAATATGGACAAGAAAACCTTTGACCCCAGGCATCCAGTCATTTCCGCTGCCCAAGGTGGTACTAAGAGGAGCCTGCACTGTGTGCTGGTCTAGCCTATCTGATCCAGTTTTTAGATGACTCCTTCTGCTTGGCAACTAACATTGTAGGGCAAAAAGCTTGTGGAGAAGCATTTCTTGTAGTCCAGACTAATTTTGGTAGGATACAAGGGAGCTTTCACACCACAGAAGCCTACGCAACTCAAAAGACAGTCAATCCTAATGAAAAGCAGTCATCTGAAGCAACAGTGTGACACTAATATTTGCACCAGTGAGATAATCATGAACAAACATCTTACCCGTGGGGCAGCTGATACGGTCATGCTCCGGGGTCTCTGAGCTTCCTCTGTGGGCACTGGTGGTCCACTCTGGGCTCCCCCAGCAGGATCTGCTTCTCGTTTGTCTTTGCGGCGTTGCAAAGTGTTTACCGTGGGCTGGTCATAAGGACCTGGTTTAGCCCAATCCTAGGGAGAAAGACCTATTAGCCTAGGTTTCTACAGAATGTATATACGTTCTCTGCAACACCAACAGAATGCTGAGGATTTTTTCTTCCTCCTTCTTAAAGAAAAAGCATAATTTTGACAGGGTGCTTGCTTTTTTTTCCCTCAGCCCGCCTTTAGCTTCCCCCCCCCCATCAAACTTTTGAAGTCTCTTAGGTGTTACACATTTTAAAGTCATGTCGACCCTGTTGCAGGAGCANTGCGCTACGGCGACGGTGAGGAGGGCGCAGGCGAGCCTGAGGTGGGGAGGGCAGAAGGCCGCATCCCCGAGCGGGAATCCCAAAGTCGCAGCCCCAGAAACGGTAGCCACACTCTTGTTTGCTGGGAGGTGGGCCGAGTGTAAGAAGGTCAAGAAACTTGATGGTCCCATCAAGGATGGTGTGACTGGAAGAGGCTAAATAAGGCTGACTTGCAAGTTGAAACAAGTTTGTGGGCTGCACCCTACAGATTCGAGGAGACTGTTTTACAGACAATCCTTCAAGTTTTTTCTTAAAACTAATCAGAGCTTCTTCAAGCTCCCACTACCCTCTTCTCCGGTCAGAAGAAGTGGATGTTGGGCTCAGCTACTCTCTGGTTCCTGTCAGAAAAGCACAGGGAACCCAGGCTGAACCTATTGGCTTTTTCCAGATTGTTACAGGTCAGGGTAGGCTTCTTTGCACAATCTGTGAATAACTCAGCGCATTCACTATTGCAAGATGGGGTGATGGATTTAAAAAGGGATGCAATTCTGTTATGGAGATACATGTAAGCTCTTTTGTCCATTATTGGCCATGAGAGATCAAGGAATCCTGTGTGCGGAAGGAATGGGGAACAAATCAATGCAGGGGCGGAGAGAATGTTATCCTCCTGCCTTGTTTTTAGACTTTACAGACACATCTGGCTGACTGCTGTTGGAAACAGAATTGCACAGTTCTTTGTCTGTTCTGGCAGGCAATTCTTTTGTTTAAAGGATTTTTACTCTTCCTTTCTGCCTAAAAGTTTTTCCAAGTCACTACTGACCAATTTCTATCAAAAACAGTACATGTGGTGAGGTTCACATACTTAAGTGGAGGGGCAGGGCAAAAAAGGGATGGGGAGGGAAAATAGGATAAGCAAACTCAGTCATCAGTTCTTTGAATTACAGAGTTACAAACACCAGTTGGGTTGGAGTTGAGCAAAAGGAGGAGCCACGTGGGCTGGTCTCTCAGCAAAGCGAATGGAATGGTTCTCCTTTCCTTCCCTTCCCTTCCCTTCCCTTCCCTTCCCTTCCCTTTCCTCCCCCCCTTTCTCTGTTGCAGCCTCTGCAATTTACATATTTCTTAGCCCTTCTTAGCCAGTATCTTCTGCTGTCATAATGCTAGGATGGCATCATCTGCTTCATTTTGCAGTGACAAAGAACTACTTTCAGCGGCGAGAGTTCTCGTTCACGCTCCGTGATGATATCTATGTGCGGTACCAGTCTTTCAACTCCCCTCAGGACTTGGAAAAAGAGATCCAGAAAATGTGTCCATACAAAATTGACATTGGAGCTGTGTATTCACACAAGGTAAGATATGGAATGAATTGTGTGAAGGTCTAGAAAACCATGTTCCCTTGAGACTTGTCAATCCTCTCATTTTCTTTGATGTAAGATCAGTGCTATTTTGAAATCATTCCTGGCTGATTTCAACTTTGTCTTAAAACCCTAACTAGAATAGCAGTTTTACTCTAATTAGTTCCGTGTACTCACTATTCATCTGTCTAAAACCTAAATGTATCCCTGTGATTTAATTTGCCTAAAGCCCTTTGCTCCTTGCATTTCCCTCAGCAGACAGATAATGTTTGGTTTCCATCCTATTTTTAAGTACCTTTGACATCTAACATTCCTCTATTTCTGATGTTCAGGTTGTAAGTTCTATTAGCTAGGTAGCAAAAACGACATCACCTAGAAGGTATCAGTAGGTTGGAAGAATCCTGAGTGTGCAGAAGTACACCAGATCATTAATGGGAAAAAAAATCCTATGACTGGGGGGACGGACTCAGAAATAGCTTGTTGTATGTATGTTGTGTGGGGAGAAAACCTAGAGGCAGGGGGACAATGAATGTAATTGCCTGCTGTAGAAGACAACAGGGCATGCTGAGCTGCTGTAAATCAGCCTGCATTGATTTGTTGCTGGTCCCACCTGTATATTAATGATATACAATCTACATATAGCATCTTCAATGTACACTGGTACCTTGACTCATGAACTTAATCTGTTCCAGGACTCTGGTCGTGACCCAAATTGGTCATGAGCAAAGTTAAATTTCCCCATAAGGTTCAATGTAAATAAGTTGTAAACCGCCCCGAGGCTTCGGTGAATGGGGCGGCATAAAAATGTTTTAATAAATAAATAAATAAAATAAAATAAAATAAGTTGAATCCGTTCTGTAGATCGTGGCCATCTCCCCACCCCCACAGCAAGACCGAGATCACACCTGTCATCCCGGCGCACTGGGGGGTTGGGGGGAGAGACAGGCGTGATCGCGGGCACACTGGGGGAGGAAGAGATGGGTGCAAATGGCGTGCTGGGGGAGGGAGAGATGGGCACGATCTTGGCCATCTCCCCCCCGCCCCCAGCATGATCGCGGCCATCTCCCCACTCGGGTGGGGTGGGGAAATGGCCGCAATCGTGCTGGTTGGCGGGGGAGATGGCCGAGATTGCGCCTGTCTTTCCTGTAGCAGCATGCCTCCACACACACCTTCCCTGCACGAAAGCAACTACAATCATGGCCATCTCCCCACCCCACCCCCCGAGTGGGGAGATGGCGGCGATCTTGGTCACCACCCAATGCAGAGTTTGCGACCCACATCAAAATTTTAATGAAATTTTTGTTCGTGACCCAATTTGTTCGTGAACCAAGGCATTCGGCAAGGGGCGGCATAGAAATGTTATAATAATAATAATTATTATTATTCCTGAGCCGAGGTACCACTGTACGTGGTTATTTGCAAAATTTCATTAGGAAATAGTGCCCCCTTTTCAAGGAGCTAATCATCTAAAAGGTACACTTCAGCCTGCTATATTCGTGTTTTTGAATATGACCTGGGACAAACCCCGAACTTTAAACTGGAAATATTACATGGGAAAGATGCTTGTTATCATGCAAAATGGGAGATGCATTGCTACTTAAATGCCGCATCTGCTGATCCACTAGTGTGCTCAGCTTACTGGCAGTTGATTGAATATTAACTTCTTTTATCTAGTGCCTGAATGTCAATGCACTGGTCATCCACAAAGCACAAGAGAAAGCAGACAATCTGGGAATATCTCAAGTAATAATTTTGAGATAGTTTCAACCCTATTTGAGTCTGCCTTAGCTCCCATTCATTTCAGGGGACCTTCTCTAAGTCTTACTAACATTAGAGATAGTCGTGTAACACTGAAACACACACAAAGGGTTTAGTAGTCATTATCATTATAGCAGCAAGTTTTTTTCTTCATGAGAAATTATTCCCATTTTAATACTGGGAGAACAGAAGCTGCAAATGAGTAGTACTGGCCTGTGGTTAAGAACAGAAAACTTATGGCCGTTCATCTGTAGTGCCTTTTTCAGGCTCAAATGAAGCTCCTTAAGCCTTCCTCTAGCATTCACTGTTTGACTAGCCAAAAATATATTTGGTCCCTTGGCAGTATAAATATGATCAGGTATAAATTTAGCAGAACGGTTGCAGAAACACCAATGAGTCAGCAATTATGAAGCAACGAGACTAAATTCTAAATTACTGTAGCCATTTCAATACCTGGGTTCTGTCTCTTTCTTTTCTTTGCTCTGCAGCCCATCCAGCACAACACTGTTCACATGGGTGCTTTTCAGGCCCAAGAGAAGGAGCTGGTGTTCGACATAGACATGACAGATTATGACGACGTTCGACGGTGCTGCAGGTATTTTTATTACCCTCTTGATAATGATTAGTGGCAAGTAGCTAGTTTGTTAGTGTGGAGGATATTGTAGTTATGTGGACTGAATCAGAAGATGTTTTGTGTATTGGTGCTGTACTCGCTAATAATTTCATAAGACGCTACCTGCTTCTATGCTTTTGCAGTTGTTAGAATGACAGTAAAAAGAATGTTGCTTTTGTGGTTTCATGCACTATTTCTTGTTTGTGTTTTGCAGCCACATGTGAGCAGTTTCTGAGCCTTGATAATACATCAGATAGGACTCAGGCAGTGTGGTCCTGTGCATGCTTACTTGGAAGTAAATCCCTCTGTGTTCACTGGGGCTTACTGCTAAGTAGGTGTGCACAAGATGATGGCAAAGAAGGGCTCTTGGCTATGCAAATAGCCAGTCTCCCTGTAACAGGAAAGAATATAGGGATTGCCCTGTTGGGCCATAGCAAAGGTCTGTCGAACCAAGTGCCCCGTCTCTGAAAGCGCAGAGGAAGGTTGCAAGTGGGTAAGCTGATGAAAACGACCCTGTGCTCTCCTGTCCCCAACATCTGTTCATCAGAGATTCACAGCATCTGAACATGAAGTTTCCATGCCTAATTATCTATTTTTAGTTTGAAAATCTCAAGTTTACCATTCTGCCCTATGGCACCCAAGGCAGCTTACAAATCACTAAAATTCTTGTTTTTAATTCCATAACATCATGGTATCCAAACTAAAAGCAGTTTGTGGACCTGTCCCCACTGGAAATGGAGTCCTGTGCATGGTTAGAAAAAAGACCTACAGATCCCAGCATGTTTAGCTGGGGAATCCTGGGAGCTGTTTGATTTTTTTTTCTATCTAACATATACAGGACTTCCCCCTAATATATCTAATCCTAATTTAGTGCAACATAAATTACTGGTCATGTAGAACATAAATCTGTAAATGCTTACTTGGAAGAAAATCCCTCTCTGTTCCATGGAGCTTATTCCCAAGTAGGTGTGCATGGGCCTGCATAAATTACTGTGCAAACCTCTACATGTCTACTAAGAAGTTAGTCCTAGTATGCTTAATGGGATAGTGTGCATATGAATGCAGCCTTAGAGAAGTATCTTGAGAAGATAGCCTTCTTGTCCTTTCTGATCCTTCAACCAAAGCATTGAATTCAATCTCCCACACTCAGCCTCCAGTTCTGCTTGTCCTGGCAGAAAATGGGACTGTGGTGTGTGCCTCTGGTGCTCACCTTGGTCTGCTTCATGCAAGCCAGAAGTGATATGCTACTTACAATTGCATGCATGTACTCTGCAGGTAGATACAGTGGCTGTTTCAGAAGGTCAAGATGCAACATCCTTTATCCAGACAGGAAAGAGCTAAGCCTCCTTCAGGAGCTTTCACATCTGATTTTTCTCAAGTTCAACTCCCCAGAATCTGACAAACTGGTATAGCTTGTTTGAAGCAAACCCGCCTCAAACAAGTCATAGTTAGAATTGGCTGCAGTTTCATTTTTGGACGTAACACTAAACTGCACTTGATTGAGAGTGAAAGCTTTGATTCTTCCCTGAAGGGGAGTGAGGAGAACATGAACCTAGTTAGAGCAGCCAGGAGGCTAGGTTCATTCCTAGGATGAGAAGCCACATGCGGACATCCATGGAGTGGATGGAGCTTCCTGGGGCCGTGTTCCCTGTTGCTGCCTGTTTCTATATAGAAGGGCCCGCAGGAGGAGGAGGTTCTTTGGTGCTCTGCAGTTTCTGTGTCCGTGTTTCATCCACACTGCCTGCCCTTTGTGTCAAGCTCTCATTGGTTGAAAAAGGAATGGAGAAAGTTGTTTGTTTTCTTATTGTCTGTTTTTAATGTACATTTCTCTTGTTTTGCCCTTTGCTGTGTGCGCTGCCTTAGTGGGGTTGCTTCTCTATTTTTGAGGCTGTGCTGTTTGCCAGTGAAAAATGTATTTTATCACCTGTTCTACAAAGTGAGATTAAAAATGATCTTTCAAGAAATGGATATGGGCTGCTCTCTCCTCAGCTCTGCAGAGATCTGCTCCAAGTGCTGGACGCTCATGACCATTGCCATCCGTATCATAGACCGGGCTCTTGTGGGTAGGTAGCTTGCAGCCATGTGGTGTTGTGGGCTGAATCCATGTCTTGTTCCCCCAATAAAACCTGAACTTCTGGAAATGCATCCAGTGCCTTGATCTGTATTTGCTGTCTCCAGTACCATCAGCTTTGCGAGTGTTTTATGCAAGGTGTCCCACGAAAGGACAGTCTATTGTCCCAAGGAATGTCCAGTCTAAAAAGAGAGGACAAGATTATTTTATTTATATAAAAATGTGTGTGCACAGAAGAAAATTAAACTGAAAGCCAGGTTACAGATTTTGAATAAAGGTGGCTCAAATCTGAGAAGGTGAGCTGAGAAGATGCTACTTTCCATAATCCTAGCAGACTAGCAGGTATATATATAGAAACGGTGGCTTATCTTGGTTGGTCACTGAGCCCTAGAGTGGGGGTAGTTTCCTTGAGCCCGACAGCAAGGGAGAGCCCATTCCCCTAACTCTCTAGCCTAGCATATATGCATGCCTCCTCCTCTTGTAAGGACATGCTCCAAAGTCCTCTGCCCTGGTTGCAAAGAACCAAACTCAGGGGCTTCCTTGTGTCCAGGGCAGGGCAAAAGCCACAGTAGTGGTGCTCTCCACTCCTGCTGGGCCTTGCACCCTGCACTTCATCTGGCCTTCTAGAGGAAGCAGAGTTGAGGGGGAGAGGAGGAAGCTGGGATACGATTGGAAACAGCATAAGCTCTCAGCCCCAGCCGCCTGCCCTCCCTGCCCCCTAGCGTGCCCCTTTGCTGCTCGCCAAGGCAACTTGCAGCCACCAAGAGGCAGCTGATGTGGTTCTTTTCATGCCAACAGTGAGGCGGATCAGGTGGGGGGTTCCATGTTCACAGTCCCACCTCTGATGTTGCAGGTCCTGGAGCCTCTGGAGCTCCCAATAATCCCCTCAATGTTGGGAGGCCATAGGATTGTGCCCTAAGCACGACTGAGCGGGCTCCCTGGCTTTCTGCTACAGCTTTCTTGGCTCAGTCACTGGTAAGAGTCCATGTAGCCTCAGCCCCATTTTGCAGCAAGAGACAGCTGCTGCTTCTCATCTGCAGAGCTGTAAACAGTTCCCATTTCTCCTCCTCTTATATAATTTGACAGTGCATGGTAGAATACATCTGTACTACATGTTGCTTTATTATAGTGTTATTTTAACTTTCATTATTGATAGTAATCTTAGTATTCACGCCTTTTTTTTTTTTTTTTTGTCTATGAGGGACATGGTGTAGTATTGTGGCTAAGGGTGTGAGCTATTGCTGGTTCAAACCCCACCTTAGCTATGAGCAAGCTAATTGTCCATAAGCAAGCCACTATTTTCTGATTCTCCACTCTCTTCTGTATATGCAGTACAGGAACGTAGTACTGACCTACCTTACACGGTTGTTGTAAGCACTGCTTCACTACTATATGTGGAGAGCTGTGAATGTTCCATATTAGCCACAGTCAGGACTGAATATTCACTTTGTGTTTTCTGCTCTCTCACCTGCTCTTGCAGAGGACTTTGGCATCAAGCACCGTCTCTGGGTATACTCAGGACGCAGAGGTGTGCATTGCTGGGTGTGCGATGATTCTGTCAGGAAGTGGTCTTCAGCTCTCCGTTCCGCAGCAGTGGAATATCTCAGCCTAGTGAAGGTGTGGCCGCTTGAGGAAGGATTTGGAACTTGACGCTGGAGGGTGGGCAAATCAATGGCCTCCAAGCCAGTCCTGGCCTGTCATTTAGAACATGCATCAGGAGTGAGGAGAGAAAGAGCTATGACATGAAGGGATCTTTAGGAAATCTGACTACAACAGCATGGTAGAGTGGAGCAAGAAAACATCCCCCTGCACCCATTTTGCAACCTGGAGACCAATGGAAGAACTTTTTAGGCTGGTTGAAACATTAAGCCCTATAAAGAGGAAATGGTTGGAAATGGCTGCCTGAACCAGTGCAAATTTAGCCTATGCACAACCTGCTTATTTATTGCATGTGCTTCTCAGATGCCGCACAATTTACAAATCTTTTAGTCTGAAAGAGTTAAGGTTACACTTCAAATGCTGTGTTTTCCAACATATTGTAAAAATATGTTTCTGAATCTGGGCAGATCTCTCTCATCTGCCTCCAAAAAGCAATCCTTTCTTTTGCAGCTGCTCCAATTGATGGCCAGGTGTGGCTCAAAGGGTGTTTAGATTTCCAAGCAGTCGATGTTATTTGTTTAATAGCCACCATTACCATAACCTAAAATAATGTTGTGGTTTTGTTAGGGTGACCTGGTACAAAACAGGCCAGGGCTCCAGTACCTTTAATGGCAAGGGTGGGGACACTAAATTGGAGCATTTGGGGCATGTGCAACTTGTAACAGTGTGGGGACAATTGCACCTTCCAAACTTTCTGCTTTCACACCCATGTTGTATTAAAGTTGCAGGACTACTTCTGCGCATGACACATAACCCACATCACCTAATGGAGGACATTAATGTTACATATATTATTGTTGCCTGGGCACTTGCTCATTTTGGTTTTTCTTGTGGGGCTGGTGTTGGTTGATGTGGGTCACCTGCCCTTCAGCAGGAAGGAAACCATGTTAGTCCTAAACATCAGATGTGCTAGCAATGTCACTGATTGTGGGTGAGGAGGGGACTGAAAGGGTGGGATGGAGTGTAAGCAAGGCAGAAAATTTGACATCACCTTCCAGTTCTCAGTGTATGCCTTGAGGGAGTTACTACTGCAGGGCCATGAGGTTTCTGGCTTCAATAGAAGGAAACATAGGCATCAGTCAAGACTTATTTCACATATTTCTAATGTTTTTTTAGGGTGGTGAAGAAACGATCAAGAAGGTGACCCTCTCGGGCAAGATTCACCCATTCATCAGGTCAGTTGGCATGAGAGCCAAATAATTTATGGCACGTGCAAAGGCAGTGAGGAGGCACATCCTGAATTCCACCCCAGAATTAGAGACTTTAACAAATATTGCAACTCAAGTGCTTTTTGTGTTAGAAGTTGCTATGGCATATGGAGGTGTGGCTTAACCACACCGTATTGTGGGTGTTCCATGAGGAAGACAATCTGAGGAGGAACTAAACATGCATCTAATATTAAAGCAAAAGGCAGACTTGAGTCTCAGGGAAAGCAGTGGAAGAACTAGGTTGGACTGGATGTTTTTAACCATGCGAGAGTCCTCTGGATGCTTCCAACACCCAGAAGTGGAGTGGGGAGGTAGGAGAGGCTGCAGTTAAAGCAAAGCTGAGGGTATTTTATGCGGACATGCAAAGCAAAGAAAGGCTTCTGGTTAACCATGCCGCATGTGCTAGTAGAAGGCCCTAGATTCAGACTTCTGATTCTCAGACCATATCTGCAGGTGTGCATTAATGCACAGCAGTGCTGAAATACATTGTATACATCCTTCAGTAGACCACAGACTTGTGTTTCCTTTTAGCAGTGTTTGTGCTGTTCTGGAGTAGTTAGATGGGACATTGTTGGAAAACCTTGTCTTTCAACTTTACACCTCTTCGCCACTGTACAGATTGCTTTGGTACCAAGCAGAAGCAAACAAAATGCCAGGGAAAGGTTTTGGCAGATGCCACTTTTCACAAATCTGCTCAGCAAGCTGTATCTGCCAAAATTCCCTCATCTACAAAGAATTATGAGCTCGTTATTTATTGCTTATCTATACTGCTCAGTAGTCAAAGTTCTGGGTAAGTCACAAAAATTAAAATCCTAAAATGTAACCTGATAAAACATTATATGAAACCTTGAAAAGTGTGAGGCAGAATGAAACCTAAGGAAAAGCCAGCAAAACAAAAAGATCAAAGGACTGAACTTAAGGGAGACCATAAAGCACCTGCTTTGCATGCAGAAATTCAGTTTCAACCCCTGATGTTTCCAGGCAGGGTAAGGGAAGTATCAGTGTATCTAAAAACAGGACACATCTGAAAATAAAACAAGGACTAATAAGTCTGGAAAAATGAAAAAAAGTCCTCATCTGGTGCTGAAAAGACCACAAGATATATAGCAAGTGAGCCTCTCTGGGCCAGGTACTACACAGCCAGGGTACCATCACCCTAAAGAGTCACCTTATTTGATGGGACACCCAGAGAAGGATCCCAGGGATGATGTTAATGTCCAGACAGGGATGTTTCTTCCATGACAGGAAGATGATCCTTCGGGTAACCTGGGCCCAGCCATATATGGCTTTAAAAATTAGTACCAGCATTTCAGTGAAAAGTCACTTGAAAGCTGTCTTCCATCTGGCATTCTGTTTCTGCAGTGGCCAGCCTGATACTTCTGTGCAGCCCACAAGCTGGACATGAGTGCCATGGTAGCCCAGTTGTCATACAGTGGCATGTTGCCTCTTGCACTGGAGGTGATCCATGGCCATTGCTCATTATCAGCATGCATACTGCCTTTTTTTCTTAAACTTCTCTTCAAGGCAGTGCACAGCAACTTAAAAACATAAGACATGAGACCATTTAAGGCATAATCACAAAACTGATATGGCAGAATTCAAGAGATGTGTCCACATATCCTTCTGGATGCCAAGCAAGTGGGGGCAATTGTAATTCTTGAGGGAGCACGTTCCACAGTTTGGGAGCATCACAGGAGGAAGCTCCTTCCCGCATGCCCAACAAACAGGCCTCTGAGAGTAATAGAGCCCTCAGAAAATCTCATAGGCAGATCTTAATAATGGGTATGATTGGTAGTCATTAATGTCTTTATGTCCTGGGAGCCTCGTTTCTCACTGATGCCCCCCTTCTGTTTTAGTGAATCATTAAACGTGTTGACTCCTTACTTCACCGAGTATGCCCTTGTTGGTCAGGACATACTTGGCAGCAAAGAGAGCTATGAGAAAGTGCTGACTCTGGTCCCAGATTATATCCTTTTGGGAGCTGTGAAAGGGCAAAGGGACATGGGATATGCCAGACAGGAGTGAACTGTTGACGTATTAGTTTTGCATGCTCGTAAATAATCAAAACTACAGGCACCAAAATCCTCATGCCTGCTACCCCCTGGGCCTAGTGCCTGGGTTGCTGCAGGGGTCAGGAAACAGATTTCTTAGCTCTGGTTCCTAAGCAGTTCAAAAAGAGGTTTCTGTTCCTGGCTCAAAGCTGAGGGTTCCTTTAAAGTCTGAGGGCTGATCTTATGTGAGGGAAACATAAATACACCACCTTTTTATCAAGAGGTAAAGGCAATTGACTTTAAGATTTTAAAAATCACGACCAAATGTAGCCAAAACCAGAACAAACCTCTTTCCCCCTCATCTCCCAAAAAGACAGAAAGTAAAGCAGTTCCAGGCAAAAGACAAGGAATGAAATAGCCATGTAGGCTTCTTGCATTCTGTATTTATTTTGATGGGTTTTGCCCTGCCTTTTTATCAAATGATTCTCATGATGGCTTACAACAGGCTGCAGTAAGACAGCCCCATACACACACACCACATCCCAAACCCAGCAGCCCTGGGGCTGATGATGGCGCTGAAGGCCTGCTTCCCTTTAGCAGAAGTCTAGCTTCACAGGCCAACTGGAAGTTGTAAGAAGTGGGTTTTTTAGACGCAAGCCTTTTAAAGATAGGTGGGCCCTTTCCCCCCATGTTAATGTGGCTGGGTGGGTGGGAGTGCATGCAAGGAGGCACCCGGTTTCTGCCTCAGGCGTGAAAATGTCTTGTGCTGTCACCCCCCTTGAAACTCCTTAACAGTTCAACCACCAATTCGAGAAGATCTTCTACAAGAATTTAGTAAAAAAAAGCATGACTCAGTTCAGCGCTGGGAACTTTTGAAACAAAAGTTGGAAAAATCTGTAAGTACTTGTGTTGCAGGAGGGGAAACTGATTTATAAAAAAAAAAACTGGTAAGTTGGTCCCTAGGCTGCAACATTAGGTGATAGGGAATAGTACAGCCCAGAAAATTAACACATCCTCACTTCCTGGATAAGGTTTGGAACTGACAGCTGGGTTACAAAGCAATGATGTTTTGATTAATGTTGCTGGGATGACCAGTGCTTGAAGACTAGAGAACATTTAGATCAGCCTTCCCCAGACTGGTGCCCTCCAGATATTTTGGGATGCAACTTCAGGATTCCTGATTGATGTTATCAAGGGTGTTTAAGTCTAAAGGGCATGTGGCTGGGGAAAGCTGCTTTAGTGTTTTATTCTACAGTGGGCTGTTGTAATGTCAGCAAGAGGGAAAGACACTTATGTGTGCCAAAACAGAAGAGAAAATCTTCTCAAGTACCTGAAAAAGACTAACACATTTTGGAAACAACCTTTCTCCCTCGGGAGCTGCTCATGTTTCTCCAAATGTGTCACAAAGAATCATTCCAATGTTGCTTTTATTTTAAAATGCTCCTCCTGAGTAGATTTACTCTTCTGTTTTAGCTCCAGAATCTTTGGCAAGGCAACTGGCTCTGATCTCCTTGGATGTTCTGTGCAAATGAAAATGGTGGCATTGAGTGAAAATTGTACAATGCCAGCCTCCTAACACCTATCCTGCCGGCATCTTCCCCACTTAAAAAGTTAGCCCTCTGGTGAAGGGTGAGAATGAGACTGGAGCAGGGTTGAAACAAAACTCATCAGAATCAATTTCTCTTAACATTTGCAGACTTTCTCTCATGCGGGAAAGTGAGCCAAGCCAAGAGGAAGTCTGCTAATGCTCGCAGAACTAAGGTTGGCAACCAGTGAGCATTGTCCAGATCAGGTGAAGGAGTACAAAGGCTGCCACAGGTGGCATGGAGGGGGGGACACTACTTGCACAGCAGGTGGGGTGTGATTCCTGCAAACACTGGGCACGCTCACCAGAAACTTGGATGCAGGGCCACAACAAAGCAAACTGGATTCCAGGGAGCCAAGTCCAATGGATTCCCATCCCCAGAGCAGATTCCTCACACATCCCTACAACTGAAGACTTGCTACCCAAACAGAGAACAGGGTGCTGCTCTACATCCCAGAACCTAAAAGCTCTCGTCATGCCAGCAGAGGGAGCCGAGTGTTAGCTTCTGGCCCACACTTCTGTATATTTTATTTTCATTTCCACTGAAGCACAGTATGTGTTGGTTTAATTAATTAATTCCTGGGGCCTGCGCACGAGCATTTGGCTGCCTTGGACATAGTGGGCGCCCTTAATGGAAGCACTGTTCACTAAGCCCGTTCTGATGATTTTCTGCTGCCACTGCCCTCACAGTGAAATGTTCCCCTGTGCTATTGCAGCCATAGAGTGCGCTGTGATGGTGCAGCTCCAGCTGCAGGACAGTATGTACCTTCCCATCCACCAAGATCTGGGTCAGAGGTCCTCCTGAAAGAACCATCCCCCAAAGGTGAGGGGGGTGGCAAATAGAAGGAGGGCCTTGTTGGTGGTTGCGCCCCACCTCTGGAATAGGCTCCCCAAAGAAGCTCACCTGGTGCATTCATTACTAGCATTTCACCAGGCCAGTTCATATCTGTTCGATTTTCCAGATGTGTTAATAATTGACTTTTATTGATTTATATATTTTTCTGTGAATTTTAACTGATGTTTTTATTCTACTGTATCTTGTATTATATCATGGATTTTATTTATCTTTTTTGCTGGTTGTATAGCAAAAAGTTACACTGCCTGCACATTGTCACTGCCCAGAGAGCCCAAGAAGGGCTATAGGTGCAGTATATAAATTTGATAAATAAATAATAGCCTCCCTCTAATGAAGGAGCCTTATGTGCAGGCATGGTACAGAAGACCTCCTAAAGCCCCAAGGATTAACCTTTTCCAATTTCTCTATTTATTCCAATGATCCTCTCAAGAAAACGCCACACACGGAATGGGAGATCATGCTGCAGTATTGCTTCCCTCGGCTGGATATTAACGTTAGCAAAGGACTCAGCCACTTGTTGAAGAGCCCCTTCAGTGTTCACCCCAAAACAGGTTGGTGGCATGATGCTGCAGTATACCCTCTGTGACTAGTGGGGTGGAGAAGCAGATTGGGGCATTCCAATATTCCCTTGGGTGCAGGAAGTTCATTGAGTGGCCTTGAGCCACTGAGAAATCACAGCCTAACTTATCTCAGAAGCTGGTTCTTCTGAGGAGGAGGACTGCGTTGCATTTATTTCCTGCCCTTTTTCCTCTGGTGAGGAACCTAAATGGGCTTAAATAGCCGCCATGTAAGGATAACATGATAGAACACGAGCATCTAGAAACTCCAGTCCACAGGCTGCATATACAGTGGTACCTCGGCTCACAAACGCCTCAATTCACAACCAAATCGGGTTGTGACCAAAATTTCATGAAAATATTTACTCAGGTTGCAAACTCCACATTTGGTTGTGACTGCGATCGCGGCCATCTCCCCAACCCCCACAAGAGGAGAGATGGCCTTGATCATGCTGGAGGCGGGAGGGGGAGATGGCCAAGATCCCGCCTGTCTTTCCTGCATGAGTGCGCCCATGATTGCGCCCGGCTTTCCTGCATGAGCGCAACTGCGATCTCGGCCATCTCCCCACCCCACCCGCATGATCGCACCCATCTCCCCCCCCCCCGAGCACACCCATGTTCCCGCCCATCTCTCGCCGCTCCCAGTGTGCCTGCATTCGTGCCCATCTTTCCCCCCACAGCACACAGGGATGACAGGCACGTGCAGGGATGAAAGGTGCAATCGCGGTCGTACTGGTGGGGCGGGGAGATGGCTGCGCTCCTGCTCGGGGGTGGGGGGCGGGGAGATGGCTGCGATCTGTGTTGTTCTTTGTCACTTCACTTCACATTTTTCTGATTTAAAAAAATAGCTACAGAATGGATTAGCCTTATTTACATTGAACCTTATGGAGAAATTTGACTTGGCTCACGACCAATTTGGGTCACAACCAGAGACCTGGAACGGATTAAGTTTGTGAGTCAAGGTACCACTGTAGTCTGCAGGGATTCCCTATCCGGCCCTGCAGCTTCATCCCCAGACCATGCTCCCTCTCCCCAGGTAGGAAAAATTCTTATCCCCAATTAGCATCTGAATGGAAATGAAACATTTTCCTTGCTTGGGGCTGGGAAATTCCCTCCCTCCTCAGCTGATCTTTACATATCATTGGAGGGAGGGGAGGGAAGTTGGAAAGTGTTTTCATACACACACACCTCCCCCCATGAAAAAGAGCAGAAGAAGAGGGCACGCATGCTGGCAACATCCCAGCCCTTTCTACATGCTTTGCCATCTCCACACAAGTGCCATGTGAAGGGGATTGTAATAATACCACCTTTCCCCTCTTCCAGGGCGTATTTCGGTTCCCATTGATCTGAAGAAACTAGATGAATTTGATCCATTTGCTGTCCCCACTATAAGGTAAGGATCATCTTGGTTTGTGGGGATGATGCAACATGCATCATCACTTACAAGGTCTCTTGAAACAGGGATCAGAAGCAGCCTGTTTGGTTCCAGTACATAGTTAAACCCTCTGTTCACTGGATTAGGGTGTAGGATGAGATCCATAATTTGCCACAAGCTTTTTCAGCTTGCCTTAATGATCTTCAGTATTTTTCAAACACATTGGCTCCACATGCTTCCTCCAAGGCCAACTGGAGCCCTTGCAAAATGTGCTGCCATAGCTAGCCAGACCAATTTTTTTTTTTTGCTTCCCAGCCTGCTTTCCCATCACAGCTGATTGCTGCTGCATTTCCCTCTTTCCACAGCTGCTCACCTTGTAGCTGGAGTGGTGGGTCTCTTGATTCCCCAGTCCTGAAGCCCAGGATCCTCCGGTAGCCCAGGTCACAGCCTCTGCCCATCATGAAAGCAGCCAACAAGGCAATGCTAGAAAGCCCTGCTAAGAGTGAGCAGCAGCTGCAGGGACATAGAGTGGCACTTGCGCTGAACACCTGTGACCCTCAGCCCTTTGGGCTACTTAAAGCAAATCGAGGAAACTCACCCCTGATTTCTGCAGTACTCCTCCCCTCCTCCACAGCATACTGCTCAGTGATTTTGCATATTGCCAAACATTAGGGTCCTGAATCATAGGAATCAAGTGTAGGAGCACATAACTTAGCATAGGATCGAGGCATTTAGAGTTCCAATCAATAATAGCAAAAAACAGATTCAAAGAAGTAATGCACTTGTTGGCATTCTAGGGGACTCCAATACTCCCAAAGGAAAGTCAAGGTTAAGCTTACGGTTCCTAAGATGAAAAGTCAGACAGCTATTGTGCAGTTCTGCATGTCAGTGATGCTGAATTCTGAATCCATGCCACCCACACCTGATCCTCCTTTCCTCTGGCCAGCAAATGCCTCCCCTAGAGCTTCGTTATTGGCAGGAAGGGCTTTAAAGTCATGCTTATGTACTTTTGGCACACCCCTCCATCCACCAAGAGAATGTGCTTCCTTTGAGCTTCTCTGAAATGAGGTCCTTAAACTGAAAGAAACTGATCACCCCTGGATTACAAAGAGGACCTTTTCATCTGAGGTGGAATGTTTGCTGTATGGAATTCCTGTTTCAAGAAAATTTGCCTAGGACTTACTCTCCTACCTTCCTGGGCCCATGAGTTGCTGCCACAGGCAATAGCTAAGTTCAGACAATATAATAACCTACACTTAAAGATTCACTGGGGCTTGTTGATACCTGAGTTGTCACTTTGTCTGAGCCCAGCTGCCATAACAAATCATGGTTTGTTAGCCATGAACAATCCACAGTTCAGAAACCAACAGCAAACCATGGTTCTTTTAATGGGTTGTTCATAGTAAAGGAACCATGGTTTGTTAGCATGGCTGGGTTCAGACAACATGATAACTCACATTTCAACTCACATTTCAACCCACACTATGTTGTTTGAACCCAGTCAATGTGATTTTTTTTAACCAGGACAACTAATAAATAAAAAGTGAACTTATTCTCTTAGACAATTGCAATTACTGCTGCCTAATCAAGTCCTGTGGGATTTCCTATGTCTTTCTGTCTGTCTCTCTCTCAGTTGCCTCTGTCAGGAGCTGGACACAGTTCGCAATGATGAAGGGAATGGAAAGGAAAATGAAGGAGAGGCAGGAAGCTCTCGTAGAATCAGGGGTGAGTGCTCTCAGAGAAAGAGATCCCGAGATATCTTCACATCTGCTCTGGTGAACAGGAAAAAAAAAGTATTGACATGGCTCTAATTTCGACCAGTACTGCACCTGGCTCAGTACACCTGACCTTCATTTGTTTTGTGAACCAACTTTGTAGGAAGACAATACAGGCATTCAGTAATTGTAGTAATCATGTTTCAGAACCTCCTAGCTCAGCAAAGGAGATTCTTTTCTGAGGGTTGACCAGGACAGGTTTGTGTAAATATGGGAAATGTTTATTTTCTAAAACCAGACAAAGGACTGTTATTATGCTTGAACCTTATAAAGCCAAGTAATAGGTTCACACTCTCAAGCCCAATCAAGAACCACTCATGTGTTTATAACCATTTCAGCTATAAAACTTGTCCCATTCCTTCCTGTGATCTGGTGTTTTAAGGTGTTTTCCCTCTTGCTAGCTTATTTCTAATATCGGTATATGCTCAAGAAAACACTTTAAAACAACAGAGCATGATGATGCTCAGTGAGGAAAGAAGTAGCTCTTGCTCTCATCTCCATATTCCCTCTTTTCATGTTAAAATCTAACACCTCCGCTTGTAGCAAAGTAATGAGGTCCACAATATTAGTTTGTGGAGGTCCTTATAACTTTATGATGTTTTTAGGAGCCATTATATTGCCAGGTCAGAACATAGGACAAACCATGCTGGACCAGAGCAAAACTCCATCCTATCCAGCTCTTTGTACACACATTGGCGAACCAGCTGCCCAGATACAAGAAAAAACACTTTTCTGCAGTGACCCAAAGCCTTTGAAAAGCTTTTTCATCTGAAATCCATTAGACCTCAGTGTGTAGGTAGTGATGGATAAACAACAAACTTGGGTGAGAGCACTCAGAATGAACTCTCATTTCAGGTAAACAAGCTTTTGCACTTGCACAGTTCAAAGTGCACCTTGGGAGCAGTAGTTTGGGATCATGTAATACTTGCTCTGCAGTGCCAGAGCTGCAGTGGCAGCAGTGATGATGAGGGAAGCTGCTGAGGAGACTGTAGGATGAGTAAAAGTTTAGGGGATGGGAGATGGTGCCAAGTTCTCATAACCAGCCAGAGAGGCAGGGAAGATGAAGGGGAGAAGGGAAACAGCACTGGATTAGTCAAGGAAATGGTTACTCCAAGCAACAGATATGCTGGTTTAGACAAGGAAAGGGAGAATTCACCCAGTGCAGTGCGTGTGCAGAAACTGCATTGTTTTGATACAGACTGTGTGCACAAATGCTCTTGATCAGTTCCAGACTTAATCATGAAGTTGTAACCAACCAGTTCAGGCTGATTAAAAAGGTGAGTGTTATGAATGGGCAAAGTTCAACCCATTCGAAGCAGAATAATTCTGGAATTTGGTGGCATTAGTAGTTGCAGGCTAGGAAGGCCTTGAAGACCCATTTGTTTTCTGTAACTTCTTCCAGTGTTGCATTTATTTGGACTGTTGCTGGTGCTTGGCCCTCATCATGTATTGGATTTTAATATTTTTCTGAACCAGAAGTTGCATTATCATCACTAGCTTGTATTTTTTAAAAAAAGTTTACTATTCTATCAAAATTTGTTGTGTAAGCTGTCTTGAGAAAGTTTTACCCTTACCCTTATAACCCTTCCTATCCCTACCTTATCCTTTATAGATTACAAGAAAACTAGCCTGGCCCCATATGTGAAAGTCTTTGAACGGTTCCTGGAGGAAATAGAGGACTCGCATAGAGGGGAACGTCTTCAGGCCAGCGGTAAGGGCTTGAGCGGAAAGTGGGCTCTTGGCTTGTGCTATCTCTACCAGTGTCCAAAACTCAATTCCTACAATTATTCACATTAGAAGTTATTTTTAACAATAGCCTCAGGTTTACAAAACAGCTCCATCATGAGCCTTAGTTTGGAATATGTTCTTGTTATTGTAATATGACTAATTTTACACTATGCAGTAGACTTAAGATAGAACTATGCATTAACACTGTGGCCTTGCTCTCAGAAATGGCCACCTCATGTCCCATCCCCCCACCCCCTGCCCCCCATCTGAACCATGGTGGCTCAACTTCCTTTATATACTGGGGTCATTACACTGCATTTCTGTATTCCATCTAATTGGATGCTGCTGGCAGGGGACAGGGAAGCAGAGAAGGTGTGATCAGATGACTGGAAACAGTTTATTACACATCACAGAGTAGACAACTCAACAGAGAGCTGTTTCAAATAGCAGGTTGTGTGCGTGTGCATATGCCCGTGCGCATGTGTCTTCTAGTTCCACCCTTTTGGTCAGACAACAGAACATTCTGCTTTATTTTATTTTATTTTATTTTATTTTATTTTATTTTATTTTATTGGACTCAGGTCAAAACAATGTGACAAGCAGTCACAGAGTGAACCTGGATCCACTTGGATTAAGCTGCTATTTCAAAACTTTTCATCACCTGTTGTGAGAAACTTGTGTGCGTTGCTGAATATGTTTTTAAGTTAAGAAAACATTTAGCTTCTACAGAGATTTCCCCCATCTCAGATCAATACCTCCCATGGCAAGAACATAAAAAATCCTATACAACACTAGATGTCTCTGACGTATGCCTTAGCAGTATTTTAATTCCTCTTTTCTCTTTTTAGATATGCAGATGCAATTCTGAAGTCTTTGAACTCACATTGTGCTGCAACAGAGGGCATTTCATAGGGTGAATACTTAGGACTCTTTGCAGCTCTGGTGTTCTTCTAGTAACCAACAATTTCATTTACCAAAGTGGTCAACAGTGTTCTTTGCTACCAAAAGAAAGTGATGAAAGTAGAATTCAGAGAGTCACAGGTGCCAACAAGAGAATACAAATGCCCATATATAATAAAGGAGCTGACAAAGAAGCTACAAGATTAGATCCAACAGTACTGCTCTGTTTTGCAAGAGGTGACAGCCTGGTCAGTTGGATGCATCCTTCTTTGGTAACAGACAAGGGAAGGGCTTATATATAGCATGGGGGGAACGTGTGACACCCCCCCCCCCCACAGCTGTTATTGGACTCCAGCTCCTGTCATCCCTGACAATGAGCCATGCTGGCTGAGGCTGATGGAAGTCTGAATCTAACGTAATACAGGTTCACCACCCCAGCATATAGCTTTACATACAGAAATGGGCCTTTTTCTTGAGATGAACTTGAGAGAAAAGCAGGCGGTTCAGGTTAGTACCAGGAAAAAAGAGGGGTCTAGATGTTGCAAATGCACTGCTGATTGGTTGCCAAGAAATTCAGCTTCCAGGGCTTTAAAATCTTACTCAAGTATGCCAGTAGCAGATTTTAATCTAAGCAATTCAAAATTGGCCTCTCTTTGTGTATGATACCTTTTCAGTTAATAGCACCATTTTAAGAAACTAACATAGGTTTTCTCTAATCCTCCAGCAGCTTCTCGTTCCCCTTCAGAGCACTTTGGCATTTTGTCTTAAGGATCACAGTTTGTGATCACGTTGAATGAACCCTCACCATTTCATGGATAAAAGCAACCTTTCCCAACCTGGTCCCCTCTGGATATGTTAGTGTTCATTTCCCAGAATCCCTACCAGATTGGGAAAAGCTGCACAAAGGTCTGCCCATGCTTAATCAGGCTAAACTAATAGGATAGTAACAATAAAAAGGCTTCATGTTAAATGTGTTTATGTATTTTGATTTCCAGCATTACTTAATGAGTAAAAAAATGTGGGCAGGCAGCAGGGAAGCAAGCAAATGGTCTATCAATGTGGCAGGCTTTACACAAAATTCTGAAGCAGATGTGACTAAAAAGAACAAAATTGCTTTATGGTCTTGCATTAAGTATTTTTAGCTATTCAGTTGAGTGTCACAGATAGGCTGTGTCCAGCTCAATAGTGTCACATGCTCCAGTCTATTTACGTTCTTCTAAAGGTATAAATGGTTGTCATGGACTTATATTGCCTTCAAGATGATACCGTGGGGCATATTGATTGAGTTGTTTTCAGCTAACAGTGGATAGCTGGCTGTCTTTCGAGTGCAGTTTTATTGCATAGTCCAGTAAAATGTTTTAAGATCTGAATGGGTGCTATTAGAGAAAGGAGTAAAACAAGCACAAAAAGACTAAAATGTAAGTTGCTCAGTTGAAGTTATTCATAATAAAGCAGCAAGATATCTAAGAGGTTTCATGAAGTAATTTCTGCAGATCAAGGCTGAGGAGAATGCTTTGGAGCCTATCAGAAGAAGCTTACAGGAGGTGTGCCCAGTACTCTTTAAGTATGTAACCTGCAACGTAACTTTCCTTATATGGGTTTCCTTATATGCAGAGAGCATCATGACTTGTTCGGTGCCCCAAGTAGCACAAAGGACAGTCTTCCTGGACTGAGAGATAAGAGTGGTACAATTGGAAAAACTGTTCCTGGCTTAAAATTAAGCAAAACTGAAAAGTAGTGTGCAGCCATACAATTAAGCACACAAAAATTGGTCTTGGCAGGTTTGCTTGCAGATCTTTAAAGCACCCATGGCCGTAACAAGTGTCCTGTATCTCTCCTGCCACTACCTACTATTTCATTTCAATTTGGTTTGTGTACAGCACAAATATTAAGACCTTTATCTTCTCAGGATGAATTTGTTTTATTCTTTTGTTCTTTATATTAAAGCTGTATTTGTGTTTGCAAATAATTTTGTTACAATGTTTCATAAATAAATTTTTTAAAAGTTCACAACATAAGTTTGCTTAATCCAAATATGCCAGTTTGAGTTGCCTATCAGGTGGAAAGAACAACTTTGTTCCAGTCTACAAAATCTTGTTTGACCAGTTAGTTACGTAAAGACAATCATTAGTCAAGGTGTTCCCAGACTAAGGATTGAATGCAGACTCACTTAGGTGTAACTCTATGCATGTTTAGACAGGAAAAAAGGCCTGCTGTTCCCTGCATAGCCCAGACAGTCATGGTGGGACTATTAGAATATTTAAGGGTGCAAGCCAGTGTGTGTAGAGGCACTGAACTTGGAGGCATGTGTGCATCCAGTATATGTAGCCAAACAGAGCTACAGCAATCTCTCCTACCCATGTGACTCACCCAGGGTATTTGTTATAGACAGTTGTTTTCAGCTGTCTAGATTTAGTGCTAGGAAGTAGAAGAGGCTGGGACATCATCTGGATACATTGTAAGCCATCAGGCAAAACTCCTCTCCACTCTGGGCATGCCTCTTTTTATCTTCCAAGGTAGCTGATGTGGTTCTTTCTGCTGTGAGGAGGGTAGGCTGAGGACTTGGCCTTTGGAGTCCCAGCACATGTGAAGTAGCAAGGCCCATCAGGAACAATTTTCACCATAACAATATAACTTTGGATACAGCCCCCCTCAAGGGGTGAAAACATGAAGAGATGAGTTTCTTGAAAATTACTGTAAATATATCAAACATCATAGCCTCTGCCTGAAACGTTAGGGAGCTGCTTCTAATCTTAGAAGACCAGCTTTTTTGCAGTATTGTGCCCTTGATATGTGTTGGACTACAATACCCAGCATCCCTAGTAGGCTCTTGCAGGGCAAAATATCTCAGCAGCACAAGGTTGGCCAAGGCTTAAGTCGATATTAAGTTGCATTTCTATCCTGCCATTTTTCTTCATGTGAGGAACCCAAAGTGTTTTACCTAGCTACATTTTATCCTCACTTTACCTCATTTTATCCCCTGTGCAGTAGGTTGGGCTGAGAGTGAGTGATTGGCTCAAGGTCACCCAAGGAATTTCATGGACAAGTGGAGACTAGAACCCAGATCTTCCAGGTCCACAGTCTAGGACTCTATCACTCTTTCAGTAGTACTGGGGCAAGCCAATCGCCTGACTCAGCAATAAGCCTACTCTCCTATCAGCAGCCATCCATGTTCACTTGGAAGTAACTCCCACTTTGCTAGGGCGTATTTCCAAGTAAGTGTGTAGTATCAATAGCATGCAGGAATTAGCTATGCAGTTCTGTTTGAGCAATTTGAGATTCAGCTGGCCAAGTACCACCCGCCAGTAGCTCCGTAAACTGACTTGTGAGATATGTCCAGGAGGGACCAAAGGTTATGCAGTCCTATGCTAAAGTAGCTGTGAGGTAACTGTGAGTCTCTTGAAGACCAAATCAGGGCAATTGTATCTGCCCTTTTTATGTGCAAAGCCATACTCTACAAAAAAGGGAAGGGAATAAATCTCCCCCCACTTTGCCTTTGCAAACCAAGGTGCAGTCCTAAGCACATTGGACTTCCATTCCTTGCATCTGCTAGCCAGCACAAGTAATGGTCATGGATGCTGGGAACTGGAGCCCATCATCTTAGGAATGTACCTGTTTGGGGATGGCTGCTCTAGCCTTACTGTCACTGACATAATAAACATGTTACAGTGCAGCAACTGTAGGACCATTGGACTAATTTCCCAGGCAAGCAAAGTGATGCTCATGGTGTTACAACAAAGAATATTACCCTACATGGAGAAAGAAATGCCTGAAGTTCATGCCAGATTCTGAAAAGAAAGAGGTACTCAAGATCTGAAGCACACCAAAGAATTTCAGAAGATTGGTATGCTTTATAGGCTACAGCAAAACCTCTGATTGTGTCTTTCATGAGAAGCTATGTATGGTCCTGAAAGAAATGGGTGTGCTGCTATTCATGAGGTTGCAATAAGTTGGGTGTGCCCAATTCATAGGGTTGCAATATTGGAGACAATTTAATGGCCTGTAACAACAACATAAATTATTGAAAGCCCTCCAAGATGACCTACCCATGCCAGGGCTGTTCAGCTGTTGTAATTTCCAGGCTGTGGCTTTCTTTATGGAGTCAATTCATTTGATCTTCCTTTTCTACTTCTGCCTTTCATTCATAGGTTGCCATACCTCAGAGACCACTTGATGGCATATAACAACAGTACAATTCTAGACATCTACTCAGAAGTACATCATATTCTGTTCAAGGAATCTGATTCCCATCTTCAGGATTTCAGACTTACTTACTTACTTAAAGTTTTTGTATGGGTCCCCCTTGCTATATAGCCTCGGGACAGCTCAAACAATTAAATTATGATGCAAAAGGAAAGGCCTACAACACCAAGCATTCCCCATGAAGAGCACTGTAGGATTTTTTCCCCCTATCTAAACATGATGTGTTTGAAACATGACTCTTGGGGAGAGGTTTGTTAATACCTTGGACTGACAGAAAAACAAGTGGGTCCTAGATCAAATCAAACCAGAGCTTTCCCAAGAAGCAAAAATGACAAAACTGAGGCCTTCATGAGAAGACAAGAATTCTTGGAGAAGACAATCGTGTTAGAGAAAGTCGAAGGCGGAAGATGAAAGGGAAGCCCAAATCCGTAAGGAAACCACAGCCTTGAACTTGGGAGAGCTGACTAGGAGCTGAATAGAACTGTCATGGACAGGACATTCCGGAGGGCCTTCATTCGTAGGGCCGCCATAAATCAGAAAGGACTTGACAGCACATAACAGCAAACATGAATATGCTTGCGCTTTTTGAAGTGCCATGTACTACAGCACCATTTCAGACGGTCTGTACTCGAAGGGGCCTGGTCTTTGCCGTGAATCATTGCAGGCTCTTCTATTCGTTTCTCACAGTTCCTGTAGTTGGCTTATCAGGAGCTTTTTCTGCCGCTTGGAAAAAGGAGAGGTAGCGCTCGCATGAGATAGCCGCAGTTTAACCAATTATCCGTGGAAACCTCGACCAGGACAAACAGAACAAGAATCTAGAGGCGGTGACTTCGGCACACGGAAGAGGCCCTCAGAGACCCGGAAGTCGCTCTGGCCTGGCCCGGAAGTGGCTCTCTCTCCACCTTTCGCTCTCTTTCTGCCGCCATCTTGTGCCCGGTTCGTCTCGTACAGTAAGTTTCGTTGTTTCTATCCGCTTCCATCCGCCTCTGAATGCGCTTTGGCCAGGCGAGGGAGCCGCCGCTGAAGCTGGGAATGACTCGGGCTTCAAAGGGTGACGCGCCATCGGCGGGCGAGTAGAGCCAAGCCTCCGGGAGCCAGCGGCGTTCCCGCAGACAGGCCGCTTGGGCCACTTCGGGTTGTAAGGCCTGAAGAAGGCCTTGGGAAAAGGGCTTCGGTTCAAGGGGAACCGTGGCAAGAACCCCAAAAGGGACGCCCGTTGGGATTCGGTGGAAGACGGAGTTCTCTGCAAATGCCAGAGGAGAAAGTAGTTTGGGAGGAAGACGCGGCTTTTCAGTTCTTACCTAGTTGGGCAGGCGCGTGCGCCTTCTCTGACTGAGGACTTTAGTCTTCTGATTTAGGGGTCAGTGATTGGGGGACCTCGGCAAGTTCTGCTCCCTAGTCTTCTAACTGTGGTGGAAAGGAACCGCGAAGGAGCTGCGAACACGTCTGGATGGATCGGGGCCTTGCTTCTCCCCCGCCTCCCCCCGGTGTGTTCAAAATGGTTCCAATCAGTGGTGTGATGGTGGTAGCACTGTGAGGATATTGACTTAGTGAAATTAAAGGAGTAGGGGTTTGTTTCCCCGTTGAGCTGTTTGTTGTGTCTTGGAGGAACGATATGCTCGTGCATAAGAATTATCTACAGATGAGAGTGAATGAAAGAGCGCGCCATATCATAAGTTTTGATACATATGGTGGATGAGATCAGAGGTCTGTGTAAATCAGTATTTTGGTTTCAACGGTATCCAGCCAAATGTTTCTAGGAAATGTACAAGCCAAACGTACAAGCCACTTCCCATTTGCCCTCAACACCTGGTAATCATCATTACTGTCATTGAACGTCAATATTTGGTTATGATAGCAAATAGTGGGGCATGTTTTAAGCTTGTGTTAGAGTTGAAGATGTATCTCTGGACTTTCATAGCTCTCCATAATACCAGTGTTGCTGCTCATGTAGCTTTGTTAAGTTAGAGTAAGAGGTTGTGAATCAAGGCTTTAAAAGGCCATGAATCTTTAAAAACCCTTCAGTAAAGTAAGTTGAAGAAGAATGCTGGTATTAAAAAGTAGCTCCCACAGTTGAATCAACAGGTTGTATACTTGTTGCATGGAACAACAAGTAGAATGTAACAACTTGTAGAATGTAACTTTCTGTTGATTATTTATTGGAGATGATTGTTCATCCTATTAGCAAAGGTGTGAAAATAAGTGAACATTTACAAGTAATTGGATATACAAAAGGATCTGAATTTTTTAGCTTCTAGTTAAATGTATGTTTAAGGATTTTTTCAGGATTGCTACCTTGAGCAAATTTCACCTAGAACTAGTTCAGACTCTGGGCAAAGTTGAGCAGTGTATAGGCTAAAGCATACCTGATGATAAGGATAGATAAAGGTTGTAAGCCAAAACATTTAAAAGGCCACCACTCGTATAGGGGACAGTAGTTTAGCTTCTTGTTTATGTGTAACTTGCCTGATTGTAGAGGAACAAAATCTTTGTTTGATAAACTGGGATATTATTTGTTCTGATAATTATAGAGGGAGGAAATGACTGATTTTTTTTACTTTTCTCCCTTCCAGAAATGCCTGGTGAAGCCACAGAAACTGTTCCAGCTACAGAACAGGAACTGCCACAGCCTCAGGCTGAGACAGGTTAGTGTCTTAGATAATTAATATGTCTTTAAAAATTATCCTGAAACTCATCCAGTCAGCCAGTTTGACTTAGCCAGTAAAACCATTTTGGAAGATATTTAAATGGAAGACTGCAATCCTGCATACACTTACCTAAGTGAATCCCATTAAACTCAGTGGGGTTCCTTCTGCAAATATATGTATAGGATTGCACTACAAAAGATTGCTTGATTGAATTCTTGCCTCTGTTGTGACCTGATTAGATAGGCTTAGGGAAAATAGAGTTTCCTCAGTTTCAGCCCTCCATCTGCAATATGGGGATAATAGAACCCTACCTCACAAAATTGTTGTAAGGTTACTCAAATAACGTTTGGGAACACGAGGAATGCTATATAAATGTTATTTTGACTTTGAGGCATTAAAATAAACATTTTGAAATAAAATGTTCTTTTGTGCCTTTACCACATTCAGTCTCTTCCTGGTTGGATGAGTTGCAGGTTTTCTGTCTGGAATATGGCTGCAGCATGCTTGAAGTGAAACACAAGTTGGATAAATCCAGCTATCCAGCTTTTTTCTGGAGGTTTTAAGAGTATGGCATACTAAAAAAAACCCCTAAGCTTCTGATTTTATGTCTTGGTGTCCTAACTAGGCGTGAGTACCCAATGAAACATTAGGGACTTGTGGCTCTTGGCTTTCCTAACCTGGGTCAAATGCTAGATACTTGCTTAATGGTTTGGAGATCTCTTTCTGCCTTTGGCCTTTTGTAACTGAGTAAACTGAAGTATCTCCATGTAGATAGGTTTCTCAGTGGATATTTTTCACTTTTTTAGAGGTCTGTAAGCTTTCTTTGGGAAGTAAAAGGTTGTTTAATTAAATGGAAGTATGCAACTTTGTCATATTTTCAGGAGCTGGAATGTTTATATGAATAATTCATAGTTACTTTGCCACTCTTACATGCCCTCTTATGAAGGTGACCATTGTTTAAGGTAGAGTAGATTGCACTAGTGTGGTTGTGGAACTAAAACAAAGAAGAAAAATGTGAATTGATCATACTTCAGACCTAGAATTTTATGTATTACGTTGAAAGTAAGTAGATTTTAAATGGATAGATTGCTAATTCTCTCCATAATGTCACTTAGCTTAATTGTAAAGCAAGGAAGCACATTATCTTCTTTTTCTAAAGCCAAAGGATTATGTGGTTTGGCACTTACCAAGTATCCTGCACTTGGCCTTAATGCACAGCTGATAAAATATGTTGACAGTGAAAGTACTTAACTGCTAGTGGATTGAGACTGTAAACCAATACTGCTTTTAAAAACCTGGTTGTAATTTGAAGTGTGTATGCATGCATTTGCAGGCATAGGCTGATCTATATTCCTGGGACTCACTAATTATCAACCCACCCTACCCCATATATTACGTTTCCAACTGTCTGTCTTGAAGGTATCGTGGATGCTGGTTAGCAGAGAACCAGATTTCCTTGTTTGCTACATTTCTGCCTGGAAGTTTAGGGGACACTGCATGTCATTGTGACTGAATCTCAACTATACACACCTGCGCATGGGGATGTTGTACACTGCATGACTGGTAAATGCAATGATTTCTGTCCAGGGGTGGGAAATTGACTTGGAGATAGGGAGGAACTGTGGAGTTCTGTTGAGTGATAAAATGTTGCTCTATGGAATGAAACAGTGGCTCCTCTAAAGCAAGCAGCAAATGCATGCTCCTCTCTAATGAGGTGATCAATTGAATTGAGTCACAGTCCATGTGGGTATTTAGCTGTCCTTCTGTCCTAGCAGACTGTTCATACTAGGGTGCTGTTTCAGCACCCCTGTAAGAAGACAGGACTTGCAGGTGCCAGTGTTGTACTTGGCAGTGTGTAGAGCAGCCTTCCCAACCCAGTGCAGTCCAGGTCTTTTTCATGACAATTGTGAGCATCCTTAACCATTGGCCAAGCTATCTTAGACTGATAGGCATTGAAGGGGGCACCAGGTTGTGGGAGACTGCACATACATTATTAGAAGTCTGGGCAGATAACTGGAGTACAGCAAATAGATTTTGGTTTGCTCTTGGTTCTTCCTTAAATTAAGTAGTAATAAAAGAGCTGCTTTGCCAACCCTACCCACACAGAACCTGGAATGGCAGAATTGGTTCTTAGGTGGCACAGAATACTGTAAATACTGATACAGCTGGTCCAAATCCATTGTTTCTGACTCATATTTACTAGAAACCAGTATGTGGAGTATTTCCTGGTTACCAGTGAGATATAAACTGTGATAGTTTGCTACTGCCTTTGCCAGTTCAGCTACAGTTTTCTAGTTTTTCCCAACTGACTTGACCTCTGTGTTACCTCATGGTGCAAGGGTTGTATACATGACTGCTGAGACACAGTGAATTCAAGCTAGTTTGACTTCATACATATGTTAAAATTAAAAAACTAGTATTCGCAATATGCACATTGTCACCTTGCCACCAGTACCACAGACCTAAAAAGCACCATTAGAGTTGGTGCTCATCTGGTCCAAATATGTTAGTTCAAATAATACCAATTCTCATACAATGATGACTCATTTTGTCATATTTTTCACAGAAGTTGATTGACCCAGAATACTTCATAGATGAGGGTTTGCATTTTCAGTCCTAGTACTATTAGTTTCTGGGCTACTGAGGATAATTTGTACCTTTCCCCACTGCTGGATACTTCTTTTTAGGATTGCTAAGCACCTCATGGGGCATGTGTAAACACTGTTGTGTTTCCTGGGTGGTATCTGAACAGTTAACACTGTTGCAATAACTCCAGCTCCAGTTCCTGGGGCCCCTGTGGAAGTGATGCTGACAGCTGAGGAGTCCAAACCAGTTGCTACCAAGAGTCCTGAGCTGGCAGGCAAGGGTTCTCAGGCTGGGACTGCTGTAGAGCATTCAGGTAGGTCTCAAGTTAAAACAGCAAGATGGGGTTAAAACAACGACTTTTTATGAAATCAAAAGCTATACAATAATTCTAGCCCCTTACGGTACCAGCTCATTTTAAACTGAGGTCTTAGATTTAATCTTTCTTCCTTGCCAAGTAAAGAGCAGAGATATTTAAAAGTTCTGTGCCCTCAGTTGGTCAGTAAATGCTACTGTTGTTCCTGAAAATAGGTTAACTTGAAGTGTCCCTGAATACATCCATGTTGTCCTGTATTTCAGGCAAATTAGATGTGTGTGTATGCAGGGGATGTAGCCATAAAGGTTGAAAAATTAGGCGGAGTGAGGGCCTATCTAGGCTATCTCCGGTAGCAGCTCAAGCTTCACAGGTTACTTTTAAGAAATAATGTTGCATCCTTAGCATGGAACCTGTAACTTCCTGGTTCTGCACTGAGTCTTTTCCATAACTTGTTTATTTAATGTTGTGCATCCAGTTCTCTGGCTTTCCCATCTTATACCTTTTCCAGCTCACACCCAGGATCTAGTGCACAGCATTAAACATAAGGCCACTGACCTATTTATGTGACTTCCTTCTAAAGTTTGGTAGGCTGTTAAGTAACCAGTAGGAATGAGCAGTTGAGTTGCCAATACAAAGCACCAGCTATTGTGATTCCTCTGACTCTTGTCAACAAGGTACTTGAGGCAATCACAACAACATTGAGGCTAATTATCTCAGTGCCAAAGCTTTCAACTTTCCTGCTGGAAAGCTTGAAACAAAAACCAAAGCTTCCAGTACAAGCAACTTGCATTTCTGTGGAATGGCTATGATTTACATAGATTGGCAGCCCTTCTGTTTCCATAGGACAATTAGAATTAAGATAGTCTGAGTGGTTGATTAATCTGGCATTTTATGTCACCCTTCTGCTATGTACATAACTTGAATTCTGGGTGTCATCCTAGTCCTGCTGTGAAGCAACACAGCCCACAATTGAAGAGCATTATCACACTAGTAAAAGCCCTTCACTCAATCATAGATGAACAGTGCAGAATCATCTTTCATGTTGTATTACATTCTGCAGGAGTCACACAAGATAATGCATATTTTCCCATGTAATCAGACTTCAGTATGCCATCTTCTTTGTGCATGACCCCATACATTAATGTGTCTCTAGGCTTGTTTAAACCAGTTCATGAGCAGACTTGTAGACAGTCCTACTGGAAGGTTGGTGATTGGTCAGTTTACCCTTTGAGACCTTGATGGGACATTTCTTAGAGTAAGGGACTGATGCTGTTAACATCCATTTGAGCTGATGCTGGCGTGCTATTATCTATTCTCCAAGCCCCACACCATCTGTTCAAGAGGTAGAAATTGTAAATTATATCTTCCCTTTGCAAGTTTATATTAATTTTGGATCCCATTTAGGTTTGTATAATGGCAAACTAAAAGTGAAAGGCACTTCTGTTCAGGGACAGGCAACTCTCTCAGTAGGCCTCATTTGACCAAGCCAAGAGAAGAGACCCTTCTAGCTTTTCTAGCCCCTGAATTACAGGCAGTCCCTGAGTTATGAACGTCCAAATTATGTACAACCCATACTTATGAAAAGTCATAAAGCTCATTAATTTTAAAAAATTGCTGTGGGTAATTGTCATCATAGAAAGGAAGTGAGAAGGGAGAGAGGGAAGCCTCCAAAGCATGCCTTCCTGCCCCGCCCATCCGGACAAGGGAATCTCGCCAGCATTCCTTGCTGCAAGAGGAGACATGGGGGAAGGGGCGGGTTGAGATATTCATGGCTTTTCCAATTTCATGGAGATCCTGCCCCCTAACCCCTGTAAATGTTGAGGGCCAACTATATGTGATCCAACTTACATAGAAACTCAGCTCAAAGACAAATTGCCTTTTTCTCAGGAACAAAACTTGTTTGACACTCAGAAACTCTCTGCATTGGTCTGCTCTGTAATAATGTATTACTCTTGTTCATTTAGCACCAGCCATTGCTGCCTTTTCTGCTGGCGCTTCTGAAGCGCTTGCAGCCTGTTTTTCTGAGCCTCCCATTCAAGCATCAGGTATTTGTTCTTAATCCCAGTGTGTGTCTCCTTAACAATGTTTTGCTGTGCTGTGTTAATGCAGTTACATTAACCATGGCATTTAGCAAGGTGGAGGTAGTGTGTTGGTGGGTGTCAAAGATCTTGAAATCCTGACTCTTGAGTTCTATTCCTAGCTCTTCTAATGATGTAAGGATCAGATGCAAGTTACTGACCTGGTTCAAATGATATGACAGCGCACTGTGGCTTAATTCCATACAGAGGCTATCATATTGTGTCAGGTGCCCATAAGCGACTTATTTGGATGGTACCTGGCTTGTAGTAGCTTGTTATGCTATGCAATACAGGTGACAAGGGTTGTTTGAAGTTAGGCAACTCTCACATAATCCTAAAAGAAGCAGTGCATTATTTGAGGATTTTCTAACAGTCAATCTAGCTGCCTGATTTGCGTGCCTAGCGCTACACAGCAGCCCACATGGATGTCATGGACTGTCATGTTATGCAAGTCAAGTCACTGTGGAGAGTAAGAACTTCCCTCAGGAGTGACAGTCTGTGATTAATATAAGGAAATGCATGATGAATAGCTCTAAACGTTCAGAGTTGAGGGTTTGGCTCTATTTTGTGGACACATGCTGTTGACAGGCACACAAAATGGTGTTTAATGGTACCAGCATTGTAGTTCCAATGCTTATTAGAGAGACTGTTGGCATTTTGTGTTCCCTGAGACAGACTTCCAAAGTGCTGCCCTTGGTATCCTTGATGTATGGCATGCTTATGTTTCATGTTAAGAGTTTTGTGTAACCTTGGCTTCACCTTGACATTATATGATATAATTGTGAGAGGAACTCAATTTGATCATACCTATTATAACTGGTCTTTCTTGGACTAGGAGCACATAACACATAAGTGTCTCTCCTCACAATAGATTGCAAACCATGTTTCCACATACTGTTTTTGTAGCCAAATTAATCTGACTGGTACAGCAGCCTTTGCTATTATAAATAGAATCTTTGCTACAAAGCTAATTGCAGTGATAATCTGTTTAATTGTCCGTGTAAAACACCTGCACCTGGGCACAACATAGAATATTAAATGCCACCAGTTTAGACATTGCAGCTTGTTTTATAGCACATGATAAGAATGATCAACCAGGTATTGATATAATAGGGTTGGATTTGTGGTGAAAGATCCAACTAGAGAGGTGACAACAAGTTGGGCTTAGCTGTGACACAGTAACATATTTTCAAAGAACTTAATCTTTCACGTGTCCTCTAGTGAAATATTCACACTATTTTAAGTACTGTGGTTACAAAGACATGACTGATGAGGGGCGGTTGTTCAGATAATTTTTCTGGCAGCAGCTCCAGTAATCCTGTCCCACAGGTAACTGAGCAATATTTCCATGTAGGAAGCTCTAGATAACTAATTTTTTTCTTCCCCAGTATTTTTCTTTGCATTATTGATTCACTTTTTCTCTCCTTTAGCTGCTGCTTCCGGCTCTTCTGTTTCTGGTGCTTCCTCTTCATCCCATGACACTAATTTTCCCCTTGCAGGACTTTGTGTGGCACCTGCTGGCTTTACTGCTTCACCTGGACAGGTTTTCTCACCCATGCCAATCACTCTTGGTCCCGCTTTGCCACCTAGTATTCCAACTGTAATGACCCAGACTCCTCTGCCTCCTCCCCTGAAGCCTCCAAATTTGGCTGTTTCTGCACAGATGCTTTGTCCCTCATCTCCAGACATTTCATTAGATTGGCTCCCAGGTCAAACAGGTTCTTCTGACTCTCTCAGTGTGGCTGCTCCAGCTTCCTCTGTGAACTCAGTGCCAACAGCTTCCCCACTTTCTCAGAAGCCTCCTGTCCAAGCTCCTCCTCTCCAAGCTCCTTTCATTCTCCCTGTTGCTCCTGTATCTCCTTTGGCCTCCAGTCCAGATTCTCTCATCTTTCCAGTCAGTCCTGCATCCCCTGTCACTGCTCTTGTTTCAAACCAGATGCCCCCACCCTCTGATCCATCTCCCCTTCCTCCACTGGCTGCAGTTGCTTCTCCCACATCACCACTGCTTCCTGTCCTTAGTCCTGTGATGACGCCTCCAGTTTCTGATATTCCTGTAGGCCCTGCTTCTGGTCCGGTGGCTCCTGCTTCACCTTCAGTCCCCTCTTCCCATGTTGCTGAATCCCATAGCACTGCACCACAGCCTGCTTCTCCTAGCACACCTGTAAGTTCTGCTACAGCATCTCTTTCTCCTGTTCCCATTGCAGTGACTACTCACAGCCCCATGGCTTCTTCTGTGCCCACATCTAGTCCTGTGGCCCCTGCAGGACCAGCAGTGGAACCTTGTTATCCCACAACTCTTTCTTCAGCACCAGTTTCTGACCCCATGGTTGCTGCTTCCTTCCCCATGGCCTCAGCTCTGTCCCCAGCTGCCCCTCCTATGCCTCTGGCAGGCCCTGCTCCTAAAACATCAGTGTGCAAATCACCACCTGCAAAACCTGTTTCCCCTTCGCACCCTGTTTCTGATCCTGTAGCCCCAGCAGGGCCTGCATCTAAACCTGTGGCACCTACAAAGCCACCTGTGAAACCTGCTTCCCCTTCAAAACTTGTTTCTGATGCTGTAGCTCCTTCTGTGATACCAGCAGTGCCACCTGTACAACCTTCTTTAGACCCTGTAGCTCCAGCAGGGCCTGAGTCTAAACCAGCAGTGCCTTCAGTGCCACCTGTGAAACCTTCTGGCCCAGTGCCACCTGTAGTGCCACCTCTAGAATCCACTTCTGACCTTGTGGCCCCAGCAGGTCCAGTACCCAAGCTGGTGGCACCTACAAAGCCCTCTGTGAAACCTGCTTCCCCTTCAGCACTTGTTTCTGACTCTGTAGCCCCTCCAGTGGCACCAGCAGTGCCACCTGTACAACTTGAATCTAAACCAGTGGTGCCTTCAGGGACACCTATGAAACCTTCTTCTTGCCCTGTGTCACCTCTGGAACCCTGTCCTGGCCTTGAGGCCCCAGTAGGACCTGCATCCAAACCAGCAGTGCTTTCAGGGCCTCTTGTGAAACCTGTTTCTGGCCCAGTGCCACCTGTCATGCCACCTGCAGAACCTGTATCCAAGCCAGGGGCACCTAGAACCCAATCTGGGAAACCTGCTTCCCCTTCAGCACTTGATTCTGGTTCTGTAGCCCCTTCACTGGCACCAGTTGTGTCTTCAGAGACACCTGTGAAACCTGCATCTTGCCCTATGCCACCTTTAGAACTTTATGGCCCTGAAGCCTCAGCAGGACCTGTATCTAAGCCACCTGTGCTTTCAGGGCCAGCTGTGAAAGCTGCATCTGGCCCTTTGCCACCTCTGACTCCCTCTTCTGGCCCTGTAGCCTCAGAAGGACCTGCTTCTAAACCAGTAGTATCTTCGGAACCTCCTGTGAAGCCTGCTTTCCCTTCAGAACCTGTTCCTGACTCTGTGGTGTCACCAGTGCCACCTGCTTTGGGCCCTGTGGCCCCAGTAGGGCCCACATCAGAAATAGCAGTGTCTGCAGAGCTATCTATGAAACCTGCTTCTGGCTCTGTTTCACCCCTGAAATGTACTTCTGGCCTTGAGGCCCCAACAAAACCTACATCTGAACCATTGCTTCCAGCAGCACCTCCTGCAAAACCTGCTGACCCATCAGAAACTTCTTCTGGCTCTCTAATTGCAGAAGGACCTAGTCCTAAATCCTTTTCACCTTCAGTGCCCCCTTTGAAACATGATTCCCCTTCAGCACCTGTTTCTGAGCCTGCAGTTCCTGTTTTTGCCCCTGTTTCTAGCACTGTAGCCCCTTCTGGGTCCCAAGGAGCAACTGTTTCTACACCTTTGGCACCTGCAGTGCCTTTTGTGAAACCTAGTCCTCCTTTAACACCTGTAGCACAAGCAGTACCTTCTCAGCCTGTGATTCCTGTTTTGACTCCTGTCCCTGACACTGTGCCTACCACTATGGCTCCAGTAGAGTCTGCCCCCACCTCAGTGGCACCTGCAGTGAAAACCCATTCTCTTTTGCCATCTGTTTCTCACTCTGTGACTGCAAAAGGAGCTGATTCTGGTCCTTTGTCCCCTCCTGTGGCTGTAGCAGCACCTGCGTCTAAACCAGTAGCACCTGCAGTGCCCCCTGAGACATCCACTTCTGGGGCTTCCTATCCCCAGGTCCCTACTTTGGTACCTCTTTCTGGTCCTGTGGTCCCTGCTTCCTGCCCCTTGGCTTCAGCAGTGCCTGTTCCCATAGCTCCAGAAGGACTGGTGTCTACAGCAGGACCTCCTGGTTCTGTAGCTCCTCATCTGGTACCCATTTCTGAACCTGCAACCCCAACTGTAGCCCCAGGAGTGATTGCTTCTAGTCCTGTGGCATTGACTTGTGCCCCTGTAACTTCTCCTGAGGCTCCATCAGTGCCTGCTCCTAGGCCTGTACCATCTACGCTGTCCCCTGCAGCAACTGTTTCTGTGCCCCTTCCTGTGACTCCTCCTGCTTTTCCAACATCTGTTTCTGACTCAGTCACCCTTCCAGTAGCATCTGCTATCCCTCCTGCCACTGAGACCCTGACTTCTCCATTACCCCTTCCTGTATCATCTGCTGCCCCATCTTCTCCTCTTATTCTGATGACTTCTACCCCCAAAACACCAGTTGCCCCCGTTGGCTCTGCTGCATTAGTCTCCTCTGCTGGGGATATGGTGCCTCCACAGAAAACAGCATCTTTGCCTCTTGCACCTGCTGATCTGTCTGTTCCTGCCTCAGCTGCTTCACCTGCACCACCTCCTGCTTCCCCTGTGAAAAAGCTAGCTCCCTCTGTGCTTCCTAAACCATTGCCAGTTTCATCTGCATCTGGTATAGTTCCTGAAAAGCCACCCAAACTCCCCACCCCTGTTTCTGCTATCCTTGATGACGACGAGCTGCCACCTCTGATCCCTCCAGAGGTGCCTGCTGGGGAGCCACCTCTGCAGCCAGTCCTGGTGGATTTCTCTCCTAAACCAGCCATGGCTCTTGCTGAGGTCCCAGCAACTGCTTCTGTTCCTCCTATCAAACAACCTGTCGTGAAGAATGACAAGGGTATTTGCCTCCTTGGTTTGCTGTGTGCATGGATATCACAGAGTGCTCACTGAATACTAATCTGTTTGTGCAGGGAAGAGACACTGAGTCCCCTCATGCCCTCTGCTTTGTTTGTTAACCTAGAAAATTAGCAGTTAGAAGTGAATTTAACTAAGCCAAAGTAAGTCCAGGCTGAACTGGAAGCAGTCTCTGTCAAAACCAGTTGAAGGCCTCTTAGTGTGCACTTTGGACTTGAGATTTATGCATAAGCATATATGCTACAAGTGACTTTCTTCACACACTGAGCATGTTGTGGGTGTCTTACAGGAGATGTGACGTCAGCCTTGCCTTGGCTGGTATTTCTGGAATAGCACTAACCTAGAAACTCTAATCACAGCTTTGTTTTCTGTAGCACTTGCCGTCCTCTCAGCTTGCAATCTTCAATGCTAGTACTTTGCTTGTGATTGGATATCCAGTAGATCTTAAGTGCAGCTGCTTTGAGTGAGATGTTCATAGATTTAGCATGTTTTGCCAATTCTGTTATGATGTAATATTTTACCCTGGCTCTGGAAGGAAAAATAGTCCCTCATTCATTCTTATTGTGCATTGTCTGTATTTGTACCTGCTCTGGTACATGGGGATTTTGCTTTATGTCAATAGTTTTTCTGTTAAATACCTATTGAATAATATGCATGCTGGTGTTAAAGTAGTCTGTGGTTCTTTCTAGCAACCAGTTACTTCACTTTAGTCTGAATATACAACTAACAGGAAAGATGCTCTGGGGTTGCATAAGCTGAATTAGCTCTTGAATTCATCTGCCAGTAAGAGGAAAAAATCATTTGTACTGGTTCCAGAAAAGGGGTAGCCTAGATATTTTCTGGAGCTTTCACATCAGTGGTTTCCTCCCACTTGCATTAGATCACTCGCATGCTGCAGTATATAGACACATGAGTCAGCATTTCATTGAAATGTGGAAGGGAATGTGCTGTATATGTAACTAAAGATGACAATCATATAATGGTGGCAGGGAGGGGTATTTGGTGACTCTCCTCTTAAATTGATAGCAGTGAACTTAGTTCTAGAATCTTGAGATAAAGCATATCCAGCTCACTGTTAAGAAGTTGAGCTTTCAAAACTTGCAACCTTTTGTGGATTTTAAAAGGTGAGAAATTAACAGGTGGATTTTAAAAGGTGACTAAATTAATTTAGTCTTTGAAATACCTTTTTTCTTTCATAGTAGCACAATTTGGGTATTGTAAAATCTTTCTAGAAATATGTCATGGGCTCATATATTCCCCCTCTTATGAATGTGTCTTCCTTCTGCAGTTTGTAGTAACCAAAGCCAGCCATGACCTGGCAAACTGAATTTCCAAACCACAATTTGGAGGTGATCCCAGGTAGTGCTAGCTATAGTTTGCCCAATTTAGTTACCCTGGCAAACTACAATTATCACAAAACTGTAAAAGCAAAGGAGAAAGGGTGGGGATATAAAAGTCTCCAGCGCCTTCTTAACATTCAAATCATGGTGTTTTCTGCTTCTTAAAATCCCCATTTAAAGCAACGGTGATACTCTAATCCTAAGAATTCAAGTAAGACTTTATTCCCAGAAAATTTGAAGTTCTCTTTTCTTGGATACTTTCATTCTCAAACTCATAAGACCTAAACAATATCTCTACATAATACTAGTCTGCCTTAGAATATCTATACCTTCTAGCTGCAACTCTTAAATGAAAAACACTTTGAAATTCTTTCCTTTCACCTCCCATCTCCCATACATGCATGCTCTTGTTCTGTGATAACTGAAAGTAGTGCCTGTCAGTTTTCAAACGTTTCCAAGAAATACTACTTTGATTTAGTTTGAGAGAGAGCACATCAACAGGGGTTTTTGTACACTCTTGTTGCCTAGATGGAGCAACACCAAAGCACCTGTTTTTCCCATCTATTGCTGCACAAATTAAAACCACTATTATATAGAGCACTGCCACTCTAAAATTATTTGTTTGTATATTGCATTTTTCTGTATATAATTCTGTTGCTTTGCTACCTAGCTTGGAAATAAACACTGACAGAGTATTCTGAAGTTTGTAGATTTGATCATGAAACTTTAATCTGTGGTGGCACAATAAAGTAAAAGATTCCACCAAGTGGTAAGCCCTTCATGTTTTGCATGGACCTGTCCACCACACCTGGAAGAGGCCAAGTTAGAAAAATTATATGCATATTTGTTTCTGTAGGATCTGGAACAGAATCCGACAGTGATGAATCAGTGCCCGAACTTGAAGAACAAGATTCCACGCAGGCCACAACACAGCAGGCACAGGTGAGAAGGCACAGGGTTGTATTCAGTGGGCATCCTGGAGAGGGCCACAGAACATTGATCTGGAACCAAATGTATCAAAGGCCTCACATTATTAACAATCCCAGTTTTGTCTGCCTGCACACACTCTTAACTAGCATCTTAGTTCTGGGGTGGTTTTGCCCCACCGCTATGTATAGTGCTGGCTTGGCACAGTAGGTAACATACATATTGTATCTACTCTGCTAAATGTTCCAAGTTTATATGTGTAGTAAATTGTATTATACATTAAAATTACTCTTTACAGCAAAGGTGTGGAGCATCTTTTGGCCTAAGATATTGGGGGAGGTGGGCGGGCACTGGTAGGCAGAGGCAAAAGAGGTGGGACCAAAATACCAGCATACGTCAGCTTAAAGTATTACCAGTAACTACATCATAGGAGAAGCATTTCAACCATTAGAATGGAGGGGGGAACATCGCAAAAGCTGGGAAAACAAACAGTTGGGCAGAAGGGGTGGAGCTGATGGAAGGGGGTATGTCCATCTGAGGGAATCCAGGGGACTGGATTAGATCATCCCACCACCAGCCCAGAAGACTGGATGTGCAAAATAAGTAAAGTAAAATAAGAAAGGATAGTAAAAAATGTAGTAAAATAAGAAAAGCTAAGTTTAAAATCATAGAATAGTTGAGTTGGAAGGGGCCATAAGGTCATCAGGTCCAATCCCCTGCTGTTGCAGGATACAGTTTATACCATCCCACTCATATGACTGTCCAGTTTCGCCTTGAATGTCTCTAGTGTGGGAGAGCCCACCCCCATTCTAGGCAACTGGTTCCACTGTTGCTCTGACAGTGAGGAAGCTTTTCCTGATCTCTAGCCTGGGTTGTCGCAATTTGACTTGATTATTCCATGTCCTGTACTCTGGTATCAGCAAGAAGAGATCTTGACCTCCCAAAGTAAAATAAGAAAAGCATAACATAATGAAAAAGGCCTGAAGAAGTAGTTTGTAGAAGTTTTGATATGGATTATTACTTAAGACTACATGAAGTTGCTAGAAACAGTATTTCAGTGACTACATGGATAATAAAATAAAATAGCTGGGTTTCGGTATTATGAAAAATAAAAAGCAAACAGGGTCTGTGTGGTCAAAACTACTACTGTTAGACTTCGTGGGTTTTCGCAATTCCCAGTTTTTTCTGTTGCTCAACCCCCCCCCTTTAACATTTAGTCTAAAGATGTTATTGAAGAACTTGAATGCTAACTGCCCTTTTATGACATTTTACATACTAATGCAAACTGTATTGGCCAACTGTGGTTTGAATGATGGTTATTCTATCACAGGCCAGTAATCAGTTTCACTAAGCATGTATTTTGCTTCTGAAAGGATTTGGACTTAATAAATCTCCAGGAAAAGATAGTTCTAAAGTTATGTAGCAGACACTAAGAGCACCTCTCCACAAGCACTAGTCCCAACCTGGTACACAGATAATGTAATTGTCTGTTCCTGGCCAATATCTGAAGTCATGCTAGAAAGAGGAGCAGTCCCTTAACCTGCCTTCCAATTCTCTGATCCTTCTGCTTTGACTTGAAAAAATTATAGGATAGATGTGTATGTGCATATCAATTTGTCCTCTTATTCTAAGTTCTTCACTTTTTGTGGTCTTTCAGCAGGAATTTCTTTTAATCCCATTTTCTGTCTTTTATTTTGGCAGCTTGCAGCAGCAGCTGAAATAGATGAAGAACCAGTAAGCAAAGCAAAACAGAGCCGGAGTGAAAAGAAAGCACGGAAGGTAAGACCAACATTATAGAGATGGCTGAACTACGCAGTAGGCTTGTTCGCATTCTTATTTAACCCACAGTGAGGCCGTGTGGCCTCAGTTTTTATTATGAATCCTCCACATGGGGGCTGTTGTATCATGCAAGGCTGGTAAGAGTCACATGACATGAAAATCTCAAGCAAGTGTAGCATATGCAGTCTGGTGCTGTGGCTCATTGTAGGTTAAATAGCTCATGATGTGCCATGCTGTGTTACTCAGATCTTTCCAGCTTCTGTTGCTTTGCTTACTTTAGCCAGCAGAAGTAAATGATACTCAACCTTTTGTTCCAAGAGACTACCATAGGCAATCATTTGAATACTTTGCTTGGGGTGTTCTTCCATTGACCATAAGCTTCAAGTAGATCTGATTTTTTTGCGTCTATTTTTCTGAGAAAGCATCCTCATTTTTATGGAAGCAACTAGTAGTGTTTTTTTGTACATCCCTCAGTTTCCGCCATGGGCTAGACTAGTTCTGATGCTCAGAGGCTTAACTTTCCCTCCAGACTTTCTCCTTTTGTTTTTCAGGCAATGTCCAAGCTTGGCCTCCGTCAGGTCACAGGTGTAACCAGAGTTACCATCAGAAAATCCAAAAACATCCTGTTTGTCATCACCAAGCCAGACGTATACAAAAGTCCTGCATCAGATACCTATATAGTCTTTGGAGAAGCAAAGGTAAACTAAGCCCAGGAATTCAAGGGATCCTTGAACATAGATTTTTGCAGGGTAGCTTTACTACTAACTAGATGAGCACATGGTGCAGTTTTCAGCCCAAGGGGCGAATTGGTTCCAGGCAAGCACATCAGCTGCATCCTAGCAGTGGGTGGGATCATATACTTAAATGGGTGAGGTCATTCCCCTCCTGGCATATGGCTTCCAGTGATTCGTCATACTCCATTTGTACACACTGACCCTAGTGTGGGCTTTTATTTTACAAATGGTGTAAATACAATGGGGGTGGGGTAGCAGGAAACATCTGTTTATCTCTGCAGTTATCAGATATTTTCAGCGAAGGGAAGGTAGGGGCTAAGGGAAAAACTGTCTGACTCAACAGGTGCTCCTCAGAGGCTGTATTTGATCTGTAAGCCTAAGATTCTCTGTCCTTGAGCTAGACCTTTGAGGCTCACAAGAAACACTGCACTATTCACTGTGGTGGCAGGGGGTTGGTTCTAAGCATTCATTGAGGACCAAAACATCTTTCTGCTGTAAAAGCTGCCATTTGGATTTTCAGAATGCAAGCGGAGCCCTCCATCCTGCTTGCCTTTCTCATTGTTAATTTTCTCAGTTGTAGCAGCATCACTGACTTCTCTCTTCTCATCCATATGTACTAGATTGAAGATTTGTCGCAGCAGGCGCAGCTGGCTGCTGCTGAGAAATTCAAAGTGCAAGGAGAAGCCGTTTCAAACATTCAGGAAAACACACAGACTCCCACCGTACAAGAGGAAAGTGAAGAGGAGGAGGTATGCCATGCACTTGTATGAGGCCAGGTGCCTGACCCCTCATGCAACTCAGGACATGAAACCAGCAGTCCCAGCCAGATCACAGTGGTTGCTCCATGACACTTTGGGCATACTGCAAGCCAAGAAGGGCCTTCTCTGCTGGTTGAACGTTCCTTGATGTCTTAACTACAGCTAACTGTGACTACAGGCTAGGGTTAGGGTTTACTAGGCTTGCCTTTGTTGTCCTTTTTATTACAGCCCAGTGGTCCTTCGTGTGTTCTCAGTTGTTCTCAATTTCCCCATTGTATACTGAAAGCCTCCCCCTCTCTTGTGAACTTCCAGCCTTCTACAGGAGGCATATTTTGTTCCAGCTTCTTTCCACGGTTGAGCAGCTATAGTGCCTCAAAATATTCCAAGGTTCACACCCAGCTCATTTCCAACTGAGCTTCAGCCCATGGCACTGCCTTTGCTGCGTCTCAGCTTCATGCTGGAAACTTGAAGTGTTATTTTTCCTATTTCTTCAATCATTGTGGCGGCAGAAGGGGGCTATGCCCATTCTTAAGTGAATGATCTCCTTAGGATCCCCCCCACAAGAACTGTACCAGAATTGCCACACCAAGAATTAATAATACAGCTGTTGCTCTTGTTTCAGATATTACCAGAAGGGGGAATAATGCAGTGGGTACATTTGCACTGCATGCCTTACAGCAAACTAGTGACTCTTAATTGTACTGAGGCTAAGAAAACATCACCCCTTGTGAAATGAATTCTCATGCACTTAGCTGTCTTAGCAACTGAAAGCAGCTGTCAAAAGCAATGAATACCATTTTACTGGCAGTATAACTGCCCTTGTTCACGTCACTATAGGCAAGCCACTTCTCTAGCATTGGTAAGCAGTTGGAAATGAGCAACAATTGTTAGTATAGAGCCCAGGCCAGGGTGTGGTGGTTGAGCTCTGAGTGTACGTAGGGAGTGCATACACTTGCCTGTTTGATGATCACCCCTTCCATTGCTGTTCAAGCAGTGGACTCTGTAATTGTGGTGGAAAAGAATTCATTCTGAATGGTTGGGGCTTACCGAACGCATTCATTTCTTTTATTGAGACACGTTCATACTTATGCTCCTTAGGTTTTTGTAAAACCACCATTCTCCATTTTGTTCTTGTTCCTCTTTTTATTATGAACACTATGGCAGATTTAGCATGCTAGAACTGTGGATTAACTATCTAGTATTTAACTTTCCTACCCCTCCATATGATCATGCACTGCTGCTAGTGTTTGGTTTACCAGATTAAGCATTAAGAAAGAAAGAATGAGTTTCTCAAGGTCACCAGGTGTCTACAGCAATAACTTGGACTTCATTGCATATTAGGGAACCTCATTACATATTAGGGAACCATTATAGTTATTGTAACGCCTTTGGTTGAAGAGCATGTTTAAGTTTTAAGAGTCTTCACTGAATCCCTGCCACTTCTGCTTGGCAGAAAATGACGTGAACAGATGTCCTGAGACATAATCTCTTTCCATCCAGGTTGATGAGACTGGCGTTGAAGTGAAAGACATTGAGTTAGTAATGTCCCAAGCGAATGTTTCCCGGGCAAAAGCCGTCCGTGCCCTGAAAAATAACAGTAATGATATCGTAAATGCTATTATGGTAAGTGCTTGACTGCATGTTGTTTGTGGCTAGACAGTAGACCTGCATAGGGAATAGGTGGAAGAGGGCTCCATGGGCATTTTATTGGTTCATTTAACCAATCATCTCACTGGAAAATATTTTTTGCTTTCTTCTGTCTGTACTTCTGCTAATTGTCCTCTAGAATACGAGACAAAGTGTGTCCAAGGAGACATATATGCTGTAAATATGTTTAAGTGCTATGATTTAGCTTTTCAAAACTGCCCAGAAGTATCTCGTTGGAAGCAGTTGTTTTCTGCTTAAAAATACAGTTCCCAAAATTCTGGGGGCAGGAAGAGTATTCTTGAGTCAGTTGAAGCTTCTAGTGTAAATACAGCCTGTGTGTTTTCTGGGGAAAGAGATAAATACATCAGCACTCAATGTTATATCCTAGGCAACTAGTTAGGAACAAGGCACTGTATCTTTGCCTGCCCATGTCTGATTGCTTTATCACAGCTAGAATTACACCCTCTATGTTTCTTTTCCTCTCTGTCTAAAATCATAGGCAGCCATAACAATAGTCTTCAAGGTTAATTGGTTGGGCATGGTAGATAAACAGTTTGCCTGGCTTGCTGTAGTGAAATCCATGAATTTCCATATCCCACCATCTGGGAATGAATGCAAAGATCCTGACTTGCCTCTTTCCATTTTTTTCCAGGAATTGACGATGTAGCCACCCAGAAAAAGAGATTTTTTTTGGTGTTACAGAGGGAAATAAATTGCAGCTGAATTGACAATTTGTACTATTTCTATCCATTAATAAAAGTTGTGGTTTAAAAGTTTTCACACACCTGTTTTTTTCACAACACACATCATTTCTCAATAATATAAAAATGTAGTTGTGGTTGATAATGTAGGTCTGACCACCTGTAATTACTTTTGATTATTTACCAAAATGCTTCAACTGAGTCTTTGAAAGTCTACTGGATTGCCAGGCTTGGTGTGGTTCTTTATAGGCACAGTGTGTGTATTTATTCTTCTGGCTCTGAAAAGTTAAAGTTCAGTCATAGATCTCGTTGTAGTTTAGAAATATGCTCTTAATGGTCTCGATTAACGCAGTCTGTCATCCTGGAAAGCGTTGGGTGTAACACTGTGCAGGGAACAGTTTGTCCTTCACTTGCAGTGAGCCAAGGAAAAACCTTTGCCACTACTTCAGTGGTTTTGGTTGATATTAGCTAGTGCTACATCCTATCTGGGCTCCTGCCATTGCTTGTCAGTGCTTGTTAATGTAGATCTAACATTAATAACATATTCATTATAAAAGGTACAATAATGGTACCTTTAAAATACTTGCATTTTTAGAGAAGTTTGGCATGGCACCACTATGTGTAAACATAACCTATTTATTTGTTTTTGTTTTTTGTTTTTGCAAATAATTAACTGATGAAGAGTGGCATTTTAAAAGAATTGAAAATTATTTTCCCAGAAGAAAAGCAACTGGAAAGGATGCTTTTGAGTCAAAGAATAGTTGCAGAAGAAAGAGTTAAACACCATTCCCATAACATTTTCTCTGCTTAAGATTGCAGTTTTCCAAGGCTGCTTCTGATTTAAAAATAATAATTTTAAAGTAGGCTATGTGAATGCCCATGTATGCATGAGAAAATAAGGTAAGTGTAAGAGTTATGGAGGCATGCGTGAGCTGTGGGAGAGCTGCCATCTGTATGAGGCAGAACCTAATGTGCAGCCCAGTGTTACTGGCAACATGGCCTCCTGCCCCAAAAAGTGTTTCTCATTAGAGTTTATCTGCAATTAAATGAAAACTGCAGCATCCTGCCCTCAGCTTGTATTCTTAAATCCAAAATAACTACTGTGCCCACCTTAGGAATTGTAACAGTTCCACCTAGCACAGGAGTGCAGAACCTCTTCCTGGCCCTGTGGAGCTACATTTGGTGGTGTTCTGGGGAGGCCAAAGGGCAGATACCAGCATATTTTAATTAAATCTTTTTCTCCCATTCTTACTCTTAAGCATTATGAGACTCATTTCAACCTTCCAGAACGGGGAAATGGGACCAAAACTGAGAAACTGCCAGACAACCAGTGGTTGGAGGAAACAGGATAGAGCCCTCTGGAAACCCTTGGAGGGTCAGCCTTGACCTTCAGAAGGTTGGATCTGGCCTGAGGGCCTGAAGCTCTTCAGCTTTGGTTTAAGAGAATATGGTCATTAAAGAAGCCTATTTGAATATTACTAAATATCTTAACATCCACAGGATCTCCTACTTTCTTCATACTAAAGGAAGCTAGAAGTCATAGCTTCATTTGTTTTTTTCTATACTGAAAATTTATATTGCTTTGGTGTGCAAACAGTTTGCAAAAGGCTAAGTTTTGTGGGCTGCAGCAGTTGAGGAAATTATGTCTCTCTGTTTCCCATCCATAGCATATTTTAGGATATTTACATCCAACCCATATTTATAGATGGCTTCATTCTTACTTGACCAATTCAGAGTCTGTCCAAAAATTGTGGGATGAGAGTTAGTGTATGTTTTACTTTGAACCACTATCTGTCAAGCTCGTCAGTTCAAAGATGAACTGCCTAGAATACACAAGTCAATTCTGCCTGTGTATTCTAGGCAGAATTCATGCATGTACCACCTTCCATCCAGTCCTATATCTCTGCCAAGGACCAATTGTAGTTTTACAAAGAAATTAAAATCATGCACATAGCATGGAGTATGTCCTGTTGAAGTCTTGTGAACTTCAAATGGCAAACTCGAGAATGATACTCGTTGAAGTGATTTCTTTAGTATTTGAAGTCCTGTATCTGTCATGTGTTGACTGTTCTTTTCACTGATGATGGATGTTTTGATAAGCAAAGTGATCTTGATTTTAACATAATTCAAGAGAAAGTATTGTTCTTTACAATGTAATTTGATTTTTAACCATCATCACATCTGTCATATTAGTAGAGAAGAGTAGAGAAGATGGCTATGTTTTTCCTAAATGATAGTGCTCAAAATTTCTAATCAAGGAAAATAAGAATGCCATTCACACTGGGTTGAATCTGCAGAATAAAAAGCAGAAGGCAGATCTCTCATAGTGAAGTTCCACAAACCTTTGCACAAGACATCACACAATGCTTATGGTCTCTCAAGAGATTATGCATGAGAGAGAATGTTGGATTTCTTTCACTTTAAGACAAACTAGGTATGAGATGTGAAACAGCTTCTCTGAGCAAAAATACTCATTCTGTTCATGGTAGAGTACCATTGAAGCCAACCTACTATTTATGTAATAGTAGAATAGAGAGGAGGCTACAATAGTCAACGCCCCAAAAAGGTGGTGACAATACTAGTGCTATCATTTAATTCCACTCTGATTCTAAGTACAGTAGAGCAGTGACCTAAAGCAACAACCTGCATATTTGAAAGAAAATTTCATTAAAATTAGTTCCAATGCTGTGTTAACCCTGTCAAGTTGACACATAATTAGAAGTCAGATGATTTAAGAAACATCTGTAGTGGATTTCCTTTTTCAGAAGTTGGTTTGCTCTGCTATTATACTATGATCATCAGACCCATTCCCAATAACCATGGAATGCCCACTACAATTTCCATTTAGAAAGAAAAATAGAAGCCCCTAGTGGGTGGAATGAAGTATTGTAGAGGAGAGCATGGCTGTCTTTCTGCGAAACGAGTATTTCTATTAGGTGAGAAGTTATGCTGCAGTGCTTTGTTCCCAGTCCCACCTAAACTCCTGTGAAGTTTGTAAAAATGAAAATTTAGCAAATTTTAAGGTTTTCTATTATGTTTCTTCAGGTTCCCCCAGTAGAAGTTGTTGTTGTTGTTGTTGTTGTTGTTGTTGTTGTTATAACATTTCTATGCCGCCCCTTGCCAAAGCCTCTGGGCGGCTTACAACACAATAAAATACATTGAAATACAATAGAACATAATAAATTACCACTAAATACAAAAATACAAAAAAAGTTAACAATGGCTGTGTTCAGACAACATGACAAAGCCATGGTGTTTTTTTATCATTGTAGATCCATCTTTAAAACAATAAAAAAAACAAGGGTTTATTCTATGGTTTCTCTGTACCACCATGCCTTGTCATGTTGTCCAAACACAAGTTTTTGGTATATAACTACCTCTGAGTCCCATGGAACCACTCTAGCCAGCCTCTATTATGTCCCTGCTATTTCCCTCTGCTTGGTAAAAGTCATAAGGACCAAGAGGCAAGCAGCATAATCAGGGAGCAGTGCACCTTGAAACTGTATTGCAGATGTGGTGGCTGATGGGATATGTGCCAAAGCAGGAGGACTTGAGTAGGAAGGACAGACCTTCAATAACGCAAACTATTCTGTTAGGTAGATCATGCTAAAAAACCACCACCATAATGTTAACCACATGGCTGCTTGTGTTGGGAGTGAGAAACACGGCTGCTTTGGACACTTGTTCTCAAGGACTGCTGGCTGGACTTCAGAAGGTTCAGAAGCAGAATGTGGGCCACGCCAGGACACTGAGAGGCCAGACTCCCCCCCTCACCCCCACCGGTGGGGAAGCCGTCCCTGGGAATGACCAAGATGTGCAGCTGCTGGGAGGGTACTTGGAGCAGGGGAGTTTCTCAACTACCCCGACCCAGCATCAGCAGAGGGAGGAGAGCAGCCCAATTGGGATGGGCGTGCAGAGAGGAGGCGTGTTTGCTTTCAGAAGGCCTTTCCCAAAGGGATGGGGCCAGATATGTTCATAAGGAGAGTTCCTGGACTACTAGATCACATTCAACAAACCACTGTATGCATGCTCAGAGATTCATTCTGGGTGCTTTGTGCTTTTTAGCAAATAAAATTTTGCAAAGAAAAACCCCTCTGTGTCTTTTGAATGTGCAAAGGAAGAACCTCAGCTCCTGACAGCTTGTTGTATGAACACAGTCAATGAGGTCTGCCAAAATTATCAGTCAACAACCCTGTGCCTGCTTCAGTAACCCTGTGGTGTCTGCTGTAAACTGCAATATGCATAGTTGTTCTCATTTTAATCCTTTTTAAAATGGAACTAAGCTGATCTCCACAAAACTCTTCTTACAGCACCTTGCTCACTTGAAACACCATGCTGCAGAATAAATATGTGAATAAATGATTACATACTGATTTGAGCAGGAGTGGAAAACATTCACTCCCCCAGGGTCTGGCCTATTCCCTCACTCCAGTGCTGGATGAAGTTGGAGGGCCACCCCCTTTCCCAGCCCAATGGGCTTCCCTGTCTCCAGGCGGAGAAGGAGACAGGAATTGCCTCCTGCAAATGCTCTTGCCTGTCTCTGCAGAAGAACAGAGAGAACCTCTCAGCTGCAGAAAATGGCAGCTGCATCTTCTGCTAAAAGAAGAAATTCCATTCTCTGATCCTACCAACTGGCTAATACAGGTTGCAGTTATGCGGATATATTAGCCCGTGTGGCTCTAACTTCCTAACATTGATTCAAGGGGGGAAATCAGACGAATCACAATATATATTATCAGAACATCCTCAACTCTGGTGCCAACACTTTATTCCTTTGGGTGCCAGGCTAAAACCTTTCCATTTACCCATTATTTTAAGGTTTAAGTCTGATTTTAATGTGGGGTTTTATTGCATGGAAAATCAATTTGGATGCTGTGCTCCATTCTGTTTTATTATAAACTATTCCTAGACCTTGGTAATGGACGGTATATAAAAGTTTTAAATAGATAAATGTATAAAACAAAGTAGCTTGAAACTTTAACTATCAGGTCATACTTACTTCTAGTGCACAGAAGGAACAAAGTGATTCATAACATTAAGCAGTGGACCATTTAAGTTTTTCTAAATTTGGTTTT